CCTCCCAAATATACTGGTTTCCCTTGTGGTTTTCCTGCAAAACCACCAAAACAGGTGTACCCTGGGTACCCTCACAAAATGACATACCCACTGCGCGGATTCTGTCCTTAGGACCACCCTAACACCTCCCTTGGCTTCCTTTTGGCCAATTTTAAGATGTTATTTTGATACAAACGGACTCAGGGGAGGTGGTATGGCCCATCACCCTTCCTTGCGCTCCGACTGCCAGCGGGCAGCCAGCCACCTGCTCCAGGACGGGTCTCCGGTGCAGGTGGTCCACGCCTTTTTCCGGCTTCTGGTGGAACTGAAGCGCTCCAAGCGGCCGCTGGGTGAACGAACGCCCACTAGACCAGGGTGGTTTTTTAGTTCTGGGTCCCCCAGTGGTGCCCTTTTTCCGTGTCTTTTTTTGGGGGAGGGCTCCGCTACTAAAATAGACTACAGAAAAGAAGGGTACGCTTATTCTAACCTCGCCACTGGAGGACCTATGAGTTGGATGCCGGGTCAGGCTGCAGTGGGACCAACAAGTGAATCAAGTCCAGGCCTCCGCTGGAGGTCCTTTGTCCTTTCTCCGGAGGGGTTTTCCAGTTGATGTGTTTACTGTCAAGATGGGCGTGGTTTTTTTCTCCCTCAAATGGACATTAGAGGTTTGGGAAAAAAGGAAGTAAGCATACAGAATCCCACTGCGCGTGACAGACGCAGTGAGGCTCGTTTCCCTTCCTGCATTGCGTGGCGCAGCGATTATTGCAAATCCAAATGTGAGAGTGATGCATGTAATTGCACTGGCCACCAAGCCTTTCCGCGGATATGTCCTTTCAACCCCAAGGCCACTTTCCATGCGCAGTCCCTTTCCGGCTGGCAGAGCTCCCAGGTCCTTCAGCCTTATCTTCCGGAGCTTTGGCGAGGACCGGGAAGCCTCGGAGGGCGCGAACAATCGGTGGGGTGGGGGGGGGGGGAATTCTGTTTTTTTTGGGGGGGTTGTGGCGGGACAAAGCCCTGCCAAAACAAGCCGAAAAGACTGCGGTGTTTCTTTCCGGAAATGCAGTGGAAAGAGCTGACGAACCTTGATCCCGGGAAATCCATGTTCAAAGACAATGCTTCCGCGTGCGTAAGGGTCAGGGATTGTGAAGGCTTGCCAACACTCCATTTGAAGAGCCCAGAACAGTAATGGACGTGTCCCCTCTTTCTCTGGGGACGCGAAAGAGAGTTTCAATCTTAAGTTGTTATTTTTGTTGGTCATGGCTTAGGTATCATGGTGGAACATGAATACATTTAAGCGCTCTCAAAGTTTGAAGGAGTTTTAAATTCAATGGAGCCAGCACACTGGTGGAGTTCCTGAAGAGTTTTTTTCTGAGATGTTATGACACGACCATTCTCTTTCCCAGAAGCTCGCACCCACTCAGAAGATTGCGCATAGAAGGCCATGGCCCTTCTTAGAAGCGTTTTTGGCCTTGGCAGAAGCATTTCCAAGGACTTCGCAGAGGTGGCTTTACCACTAAGAACCCCTTTGAGAGCAACGCCTGTTCCAAGATATTAGTAATAGTACTACTGACGCCACCTTGCGGCAACACCCTTCTGCCTTTTTGGGTTCTCTTTTGGCTTCCCTATAAACACCAGGCCAACAAGGGGTACCCTCAAAAAAAGACGGACCCATTTCAACCAGCGAAAGGTTAAAGGTTCGAAGGGGTCGAAGTCTGGCCCAAGTTTTACGCATTCCCAAGCTGACGCTCCCACGCGTGTTTTTGTCCCTGCTCAAGTTTCGCAACAGGAGTTGGGCCAGGTGGAACAACAACACCTGTTCTTCCAACACCCTCATCCAAATTCCGTCTTCTCAACCAATCTCTACATCTCACTCCCCTGAGGTCCCGGACTTTAGTCACTTGCGAAGATCAAAGTGGTAAATCAAACAAGTTTGCAGAACTGTTTCTGGCCAATCCACATCAAAAGCAAGAAACGTTCTTGCAATTCCCAAGCTGTCCCTTACCATTGGGAAACGGCTTAAGGAAGGTTCTGACCAGCTTGGCCTAACAACCCCCCCTTTCCAGTTCTACACGAAATCGGGGCAACCGCACGCGTCCGCCGCGTCCGTCCAACGCATAGGCGGCCATCGGACTTGCCGCCTCGAGCCGTCAGCCGCCTCACTCGCCACTTCAGTCGAGCCGCGGAGGACTTGGAGCTGGTGGCCCGTGAGTTGAACTCCTTCTGCCAGGGGAACCACCCGCTCTTCCCAGGCGATCCATTTGCCCGCGCCATTTTTCGCGCTCGATCCGCGAGTGCGCAAGCACGAGCGCGCAAAGCGTATTTCTCTTTGTTTTGTTTTTGTGTCTCCGGTTTTTGAGCGGTCGGAGCGTCCAGCGAGTCGAACTTCGAGGGGTTGGAAGTGTTCCGAATGGTCGCAAAGCGGGGATGGAGGAGATGGGGAAAAAGGAGGGGGTTCTTGAAAGATGCAAGTGAATATGTGGCCTGGTGTTTTTTTGTTGGTTTGGTGGGCTTTTTGTGATAGCAAGCCAACCCCCTGAGCCACAACATAGGGATGGAAATCCAAGTTTGGCACAGAAAGGCTTGCTTTGGCTCGGCAACTCTGATTCGACGAGCAGAATGCCGAATCGGAGTAGTGGCGAAACAGGCTCAAGCAGCGCGACCCTGCTCACATTTTACGGGAAACCAAGAAAACTGCCGCCAACTTGGGGTGCTAGTTCTTGCTAGGATCTGGGGAAGGGTTCTTCAATGCCAGGCGTTGTTTCGGCATTGTATCCTGACCAAGTTGGCCATGCGTGCTTGGGGTTTTCCTCAAGTTGGTCTCTTTGCCGCTTTGGCTACTGGGTAAATTGAAACTTGTTGCTTGTGGAAGCTTGCTGCAGGATTGTGCTACCCAAGCCACCAAAATAAGGCATTTAGTTCGGGGCATGCCTGCGTAGTGTGGTCAGAGCAAGCCCGTGGGGGCTCTGTCCCTTCAGGGTTTAGGACCAGTTTAGGGATGTTTGAACTACACCTCAGTGTGGGTTGCAATTCTTGAAACATATCCAAGGCTGAACCCGATAGGTTGAAAAAACACACAATATTTCAAGGCTAAAGGAAACGCGATTAAAACCTCTTTTTTTAGGGGGCCCGAAGCGGGATCTAATAGCAAAAAATACTGGGTTCCGAACCTGCATGGGAAGTTGCTAGACCGCGTTTATTGGATGCAAGTCTGAACTTACATGACATTTCCTCATGGCTTCGTCAACCCCTTTACTTGCCCCAGGGAAGTGTTGATTTTTGTCCCTTAGGGTCAACCCATTTCGAAGCCAAAACCCACTGATGGCTTGGCCTCAGGTTTTCGCATGGACGGCAGCGACGGAGAGCCCGACTATCGCTTCGACATGAGCGACCCGGAGCGCTTTGGGAACTTCCACGTGGAAGCTCGCCTGGTCGGCCACTTTTTTTTGGTATCTGAACCTAGGTCCCCCAGTGCCCTTTTACCGTTTCTTTTTTGGGGCTACTAAAATAGGTACCCTTATTCTAACCTCTCTACTGGAGGACCTAGGAACTCTTCTTCCACTTGCTGAAAGGAATATGCCTGCCTGGGGGTACAACGAGCACGGAATGTGCCTGCCTATTCCGTAGCGAGCTCACCTCAAAATACAACGAGCTCACCATGATACAGGTCCTTTACTTGGGGATTCCTGAATTCAGTTCTTGGAAGTATAATAAAATTTGCAGATATGTTTGTCGTATTTTCCCCTGGTTTTACAGGGAATCGATTTCACTGCTGGACATATGTTTCTCTTTGTTTCCAGGGGACTTGAGCAAATGGAAGTATTCGTTCGGATTCAGAAGCATAACAGGCAGCGAGACTCAGAGCGGCCTGGGATTTCACAACTGAGCCACGTCCTCAAAAGCCGAGTAGATGAAGGTTAGGGAGGGACAATCCCATGTACTGAGCGACCCGAGGAGTTTGAAGGCCCAAGACCCGCACAGCCGTGTTTGTGGGCTTGGGTTTCCAGAACGGGACGGATTCGTCAAGCCGACAGGTTGGTGTGTCTTTCGTGAGGTTGGAACCCTCAAAATGATGGTCTTCCTTTTTGTTCTCCTTGAAGCCCACCAAGGATGGGTTGATGTTCCCTCCAAAAAAGACAAACCCAGTCCTTTATCCAAGGAGAACTCCTATTTTAGGGTTGGGATGGGAGCTGGGAGCACCATCCTTCATCCAGTTTGATGAATCCGGGTTGAAATTATGACCCTTGTGCTGCCCTTGACTCTTGCCATTTTTCTTAGTTGTTTGCTTGCTGGTGCTCAGCAGGGAATGAGGGCATGACGCCAAACCGTCGGTTTTCGTTAAGGGAATCTCCAGGTTCATTCCCACATTCCCTACCTATCGCACCAGCAAGTTGGGTCCTGATAAAGCTTTTTTGTGGGCTGCAAAATTGCCATAGGGATTGGAGAGGCCTCCAAGCAGAACTCCTTAGGGCCGAAAAGGGCATGGCGCCAGCACCCTCAGTTGGATGAATCCGGGGTCGAAGTTACTTCGCCGTTTGCCACGTTTCTCAGTTGATCCTGATAATTTCGGGGTGGCAGCAAAACTGCCAGATGCCAGGCGCTGCAGAGGTGTACCCCACGAAAGCATGGTGGAAATATAGGCACTATCGGCACTGTTGTTAAGGTTGAAAGCCTGTTAATTTGTTTTGTTCAATGCCTTGTTGGGGGTTCCGTTTGGGGTTCCAGTGACAAAGACATGTGATCGACATTTGGTGAATAGGTTCCTTCATTGGGCTCCGGGCGAGTTCAACTCACCCAACCAGAAGACTTTTCGCGAATCCTTGAGCAGGTGGCTTTGGGTAGGTATCCTTCTACCGGAACCCAGTTGAGATTCTTTCTGGGCAAGTTTTGACCGGCAAAGAAAATCTGCCAAGTCTTGGCCGTGGAGGAAGACTGGGGATGAGTATGGTTTTGTTTGGCCTTCCCACGATGATGCAGCGCTTTTTGGTAAATAAGAGAGGCACATACTGGACAACATCGGCGTCACGCACCAGTTGGAGTTGGCTTCATGAAGCTTCAGTATCCCAACTTAATGAAGCCCCATGACGCCAACCCCAACTGGTGCGTGGTGCAGATTTGGGCGGTGGGGAGTGGGGGCTGCTACGTTTAGGTCGAATTCAAAGTGATTAGAGTGCTCGGCCGGGAAGTGTTGGACGCGTACGGCGTTCACCACGTACTCCCAGCCTTGCGCCCTACTGTGAATGGACGAAAGCCTGTCCCAGTTGGAATGAATTAAATCCTAAACAGACAAACCTGCGAAGAGGTGGTGCCGCATTCGTATGCCGGAAAAAAAAAAAAGAAAAAAAAAAAAAAAAAAAACGGGCCTGGTAAAGAACCCGCTTGGAACTGAAGGCACATTTAGGTCCTATGGGTTTTTCCCTATGGGGTCCGTTTTGCTTGCAAGCCTTTGGACACCCAAGAGATTGTCCCTTGTCGGCGAATCCAAGGACGAAGGTGAGGAGCTGAATCTGGTCCTGGGCACCATCGAGCAGCCCGGAGAGGGCCGCTTTAAGGACGGGCATCCCCAAAAGCGCGGCGAGCCTTTCCACAGATTGGTTTGGCGGCTTCGGCGCCACAAACAACAAATGGCCATGGGGCATAACCTGTGGTTCCATTTTGGGGTGGATGAACATCCATTTGCCACCTATTTTGATGTTCACCAGCGGCACAGGGTTTTGACCCACAGCCAAATCTGACCAGACCGAGAATGCGGCCGGCGGTTTCCATGTTTGGCGGGTCCGCGGGCGGCATTTTGTAGGATGCGACAGACCGGAGCCTCGCCTTCTACGAGCACAACGACCTCCCTGTGAAGCGCATCGTCCGTGGCACGCAGCTTCGGTCCCGTTTGGAAAGTTGTCCATGAATAAGGCTTAGGTGCCACTCCCGGGCGAGCCGAAATCTGGTATTCCACCGTGTTATTTTGACCCATGGGTCGTTTCCCCCGGGTGTAATTCTATTAATCCCAGGGTGCATCTGGTATTTTAACCCATCTGGTAAATGAATCCCATTAATTCCATCTGGTATTTTAACCCCATTAATCCCACAAAAACCCTCAGACCAATGCTTTTGTTTCTTCCTGCTGCCAGTGTGTTTGGCTTGGGCCAAGGGCAACTGGAGGATGCCGCTGCCACTGGGGCACCACATGAGGTCTTTGACACAAACCCAACAGTAGAGGTTTGCACAGGCCAGCGAGAAAGAAAAAACGGAAAAGGTCATGGCGTGTTAATGCGCCTTAAGGCCATAAAACATGCTAACGTGCTTAGTGCTTTGGGGTGCTAGGTTTGTAGGGTGCCCTGTTGCAACAGATCACCCTCGTTGGAGCAACCTGATCCCAGTCGCCCTTCGCACTGAAAATGGTCAACCTAGAAGTCCTTTTGCTATCAGGGTCACTGGACAACTGGGTGATGCTTTCCACATTCATAAGCTTTACCAGGGTTCCATTTGTATAGGGGCAGCATGGTTCAACAACTGTTTCCACATCATAATTCGGGAAACAATAGATGGTATCGGAGACAAGCTGGAATGTGAGCCAAGTGTCACTTTCTACTACCCTGCTTCCTTGGCTATTCCGCTGGTATCCCTGCATTCCTAATTTGTTTGTCGGTTGCAACACGCTCAGCACTCCTGTTGGACTGGTTTGGACGTGGTAGACGTGATGTTATTGAGGTTGAGATTCGTTGCCAACGGCGTCCTTTGCCCGCAGTGCACATGCAACCACATTCTGCCCAAGGTTTTGTGCAGCCCTCCCTTGGAAAGAAAAGCAGAAGTGAATGAACCCCGCTTTGAGGTGGGTCCCTTTCTGCCTCGCAAGAGATCAAAAGGTAAGCCACGGCTTGGCCCAATGTTCAGACTCCGGGAACATACCCCTCAAGGATAAGACAAAAAAATCACCGTCATATTGCTTCTTTGGGGTTTTGGCTGGGGGTGAGTGGGAAAAGTCTTTGAGGAACTCCTACATCAAGGGTCCGGGGTCCAAAGCATGCAACCCAACAAACCCCGAACCAGCCCACGGCAAACAGCGCGGTTTACGGGCAAACACCGGTTTACTAGGTCTCAAACCACCTTGCAGCCCCAAACCAGCCTCTCGATGATCGTTTCTTTCCGTTGGGTGTGGCCCAACAACCAGGGCTCGAACACGCAGGCTGCATCAGGGAACTCCTCCCGCGGTTTTGGTGTGTGCTTGGCTTATTTTCCTCTAGACCTGGTACTGCTGGGCAAGTGAGTTTTGCACTGCTTGCCCAAAGCGAATGAACCTTCTAACCTTTGAGTTTTTGTTTGATTCGGCCCATGTGTTGTTCAGGGCTCCAAAAGGGTAACCCGAAAGCCTGCCCCCATGAAAGAAATGGCAATACCCCACTTTGGATGATGAGAATCCTACTGGTGGCAAATGGTATGATTGGCTCAACCATTGTACTGGTGGCCTGCCTGAACCCCAGACCTCAGGCGAGGGCGGCGATTTTTGATCCGAATTCCAGGTCCGCGGTGGTGGACTTCTTGTGGAACCTCTCGTCCCAACGGGTGACCGCAGGCTTTCGTGACAACTTCCTTTTCTGGAAGCGGAAGGGCCACACCCAGGACCGCTAGGTCTCCCAGTGCCCTTTTACCCTTTTTTGAGGAGGGTTCCCCTACTAAAATAGACTGGAGGAAAAAGAGTACCCTTATTCTAACCTCTTTACTGGAGGATCTAGTCTGATCTGACTGAGGAACTCAGTCAACGGCTGAAATGACAAAGGAAAGGTCCTGGTGGATCCAGTTACCTGGTTTTGTACGTAACCCGCCAAACAAATCACCCTTTACAAACTACTTTCTGTTTTAGCATGGTTACCTGCTATAAGGGCAACTGGGATCCACTGGGAGTGTTTTAGACGGCTGAAATGAAGATCTTACTCGTCAAGACCGAGTCGTCCTTTTTGGTGTTCCTATATTTGGCAACCATGTTCAGTGCTCCCAAAAAGCGATCCGCTTGTTCTGGGTCCTGTTGGCAAGTCTATGAACAGTTCGGTGTGCGGTTTAAAAGCAAAACACTTTTTTGGATAGTAGGACAACCGGTTGAAGTTTCCCCCATTTTTGAGACACGCCGGCGTCTCTCCATGTTTCTACGCCCAAAGGCAGTTACTTTCCCTCCATTCCCTCTTTGGAACCTTCAACAGTGGCAGTTTCAATGCCAACCACCAGTAAATCGCACTGTTTGAAGGTGGTTGGTTTCACTACAGTACTGGACATATTGTTTCATTTGTTCCAAGGGACTTAAGCAAATGGAAGGTGAAGTCAGTGGATTTGGAAGGCTTGGGGAACCAACCACTGTGTCACAGAAGTGAGGCATTTGCTTGTTTTACGAACGGCCCTGCCAATCCAAGCACCAAAGTTAAGGCTGGAATCTGAAAGTGAAGTTCTTTGCCTGCCTTCTGCCTTTCAAGGACACCACCACCCCCCAAAGGACACCCAAGACCCTCCGTCTCCAACGTGAACATCATCATTTCCTTGTTATTTGTGGCCAGCTACTAACCCTAGGAGTGTTAGATTTTTCTCTTGGGGGGGGGAGGGTGCATTTTCCTGTGGGGTCGCTAAAAGAATTGTTTTTTGTTTTTATCCGGTAGCGACACTTCAGAATACTGGTTGATAAACCACCGAACTGGTGCCGGATTTTGTTCTTTCACTGCATTTCCAGGGCAACATGTTCCTTTCCTCCTGGCTTCACTTGAAGCTCGAACAAACAGCTGATTTCTCTAGGGGTACCTTCCCCATTCTCTCCAGGGATCCTTCTTTCTAGAAAACCTCCGGAAACTCAGGATAAAAACGGAGCCGGTTTTTGAAAAGAACAATGGTTGAAAAGATTGGGGAATCAACCCCTGGAATTTCAGAAGCCTTTACCGCTCGAAAGGAAGGCGGCAAGTTCTTCCTCTACGACGCCTCCCGGGGCACAGATCGCCACGAGATCTTCTTCGACGACAACGTGCACTTCGACGACTTGAAGATCATCCGGCCCTTCAACAGGCCGGAGTGCTTCTCAGGTTTGTTTGGTCGGGGGTCGGTTGGTTTCGTTTTGTGTTCGGCTATTTGTGCATTTGTTGGGTTTGGTGTTGGCTTCGACTCTGATGTTAGGGTTGATTTAATTTGTGTGGGGTCGTGCTGGGGTGTTTTAAGCAAGTTGTTTGTGTCGCGTGTTTGGCATGCATGTATGTATGTATTCTGTTTGTTCATGTGTTTGCTTGTTCGTTTGGTTAGTTAGTTGGCTGGCTGGTTGTTTGGTTGTGTGTTTGTTTGTCTCTTTGTTTGTTTGGTGGGTTGCTTGTCCGTTTTGCTTCATTGGATGTGTTGTTTCTTTGTTTGTTGATTTGTTTGCCTGTTTGTTTGTTGGTTGGTTGGTTGTGTGTGTGATTGCGTGTTTGTGTATTTGTGTGTTTGATTGTTTGTTTGTTTGTTTGGTTGGTTGGTTGTTTTCTTGCTTGCTTGCTTGCTTGCTTGCTTGCTTGCTTGCTTGCTTGCTTGCTTGCTTGTTTGTTTGTTTGTTTGTTTGTTTGATTGTTTGTGTGTTTGTTTGTTGTGTATTTGTTTGTGCGTGCGCGTGTGTGCGTGCGTGTGTTTGTGTGAATGTGTGTGTGTGAATATATATATATATATATATATGTGTGTATGTGTGTGTTTGTTCGTTCGTTCGTTCGTTCGTTAGTTTGTTCGTGTGCTTGCGTGCTTGTTTGGTTGATTGTTTGTGTGTTTGTTTGTTTGTTTGTTTGTTTGTTTGTTTGTTTGCTTGCTTGCTTGTTTGTTTGCATGCCTGCTTTTTTTGTTTTTTTGCGGGTGTGCTTTGTTCGGTTTGGTTCGTTTGTTTTTTGTTGCAGTGTTTCGTGTTTGATTGTTTGTTTGTCGGTCTGTCTTGTCTGTTTGCTTGCTTGCTTGTGTGTGTGCGTGTTTGCCAGCTAGCGTGTTTGTTTGTTTGTTTGTTTGTTTGTTTGTTTGTTTGCACGGTTGGTTGGTTGCTTGCTTATTTACTTGTTTGCCCGGGCCGCTTCCATACCATGCCTGACACAGGGGAGTAGTTTGGGGGTAGTCGTTTGGGGGAAGTGCTGGGATCTCTTGGACTTTTTTTTTTTTTCCTTTTTTTTTTTTTTTCGAGATTCACTAAATACGGGCCAAGCAAAAACTATATGTTTCCTTTGGGCGGAGGCTGACGCAGATAGATGGAGGTTCTTTTTCGGGAGGGGCGATGCTTCAGGTTGAGTTTGTAGACTGCACCCAAAACCCGTGATACCTTAAAGGAATCCGGCACCCTGACCCTTCCTCCTTTCACTGTAAGACAGTCCCTTGGGCAGACCCGCCATGGTGCCCTGGTGAAAACACACATCGGAGCTTCCCCAAAAGGAAAGTCGTCTTCCACAAACCTCCTGGCATCTTCCATGATTGTTGGAGGGAGGGATTCCATCTGGCTTGATCCTTTTTACCACAGTTGCAATTCCCAAGGATTTGGCTCAAGTGGCAACAGTGCCTGAGAAGCATCCCTGTGGTGGGACCTGCAATGAGAGAAACGCATGCTAAGTGTAGTTGAGTGGTAGGTGTTTCAGCGTCCCGATCAAAAGACCTTCAGGCTAAGGTGGGCTATAAGCCAAGGATAAGCCCTTACGGTGCGATTAAGGGTTAAGGGATAGTCTTTTCTGCCCCCTGCCCTTGGCCTTATGATCTATCCTCATTTGAGTTGCCAAAGGCTCGGGGAGCAACGAGGAAGCAAGGATACATACATACTGCCGAACCATAGTCGCGCATGTACACCAGGTTTTGCCCGGGTGATCATTTGGGGTTGGGAAAAATCGCTCCTGTGATCTCGCTTCCATTTGTTTTAAGGTTCATCACGTATGCGCCAGAAGCAAACTCTGGTCGGACCCAGCGGGCCTACAATTAGTTGAATATATGGCTATCAACCCCAATTTTGGGGATAATACCAGCTGGGTCAGACTTTCTGACTCCGAGTTTGATGGCTGTGTGTGATTCGTCCCATGGGATGGCCCATTAGCCGCCAGGCTGAGACAACGTCGGTCCTGGTGGGGCCTACCACTGCTGCACACGAATGTGTCGTGCGCTCGGCATAGGCCCCCCCCCAGACTCAGCCAAAGGGCTTGGCCCTTCAGGAGCTAGTGTGGCCATTGAAGGGTGCAACACCTTGACAAGCCTTTGCGTTGCATTTTCACTTCAAACCGGAACAAAACGGACATTAGGTCTTTCTTGAGGGTTCCCTCATTTTTGGGGACATGCTCAAGGAAGCCCAAGCCAAGCATTTTCTGATTCCAGTCCAAGCTTTCATCGTTTGTAGCTGGCGTGCTCGAAACACGGTCACTGGATTTCATCTTTGGAGATGACCCGGATCTCTGGAAGTAGCCCGTTGAACCCTCGGGCCAAACATGTGAACCTGTCTCGAACAAACCTGAGTGACTTTGTAGGACGGAAGGGACACTGCAAATGACTCACTTGTGCTTGCCTAATGGTCATGCCTGCTTATGTTAGGAATGGCGGTCGACTCGTTGGTCGGAGCTCGGACAACCGTTCTGAGTCTTCTTTGGGTAATTGCGAAGCACACCGCAAGTGCTTTGTGATTTGCCCGCTTTCCGTTCATAAAACAGAACCACCACGCTAGCAACCACCCAGAACCAACGATAGATTATTCTGGCCGTGGCCATCTCCAACACTTTTCATAGATGTGAGCTGCAAAGGCTAAACATCAGTGGATGGTCATGTGGCTCATTCGTGGCAGGCCACTCAATTTCTTATGGCTTCACTCAGTTGTTCAGTGGCACCAATTATTTGTCCTCTTCTTTTTTTTGGGTGGCTGCCCCACTAAAAATGGTCTTCCCCTTAAAAAGGGTTCCCTTTTTGTCCAGGGTCACTGAACAACTGAGTTGAACCAAAAAGTTCTGGGCAATGCCTGGCTGATCATCCACACGTTCCGATTCGAGCCTTGTAGCAGCTGCAGCAGCACTTGCCGGAAGGCAACCGCCGGTTCAACACCCGAAAGGGTCCGAATTGGTTGACTTCGCTGAGTTCCTGGACTTTTGTCACCTTTTTGGGAAGGCCATTTTAGTGGCTAGCAAGAAAGTTAGGACTTTGTAGTCAGCCAATCCACCCACCCGGGAAGTGTGAAGGGGGCCGCCTCGTAGTGCTCGATGCTCTGAACTTTTTGCTTCTCAGAAGGTCAACTGGGGTTCTGGTAAACCAATGGATCCCCTAGGACCCTAGAAAACTTGTTGGTAAAGCGCATTCCCTCCCTCCCTGTAAAGCCCAGCAAGTCAAAGAGGTATTTCTCAAAAGGGGCGATTTGGCACCCGGTGTTGCATCCTTTGGGTGCGACGCTGAGGTGTCGGGCAGATGCCTTGACTGCTATCAACGACGACCTCTACTTTGTTGGAGAAGTTCGAAGGCCATGTTTAAGCTGCCCGCTGGGGCGCTGTCTTTGTGCTTCGTGTGCGTGTTGGCATATTGTGTGTGTGTGTGTGATGTGGTGTTTGTTGTGTGTGTGTGGTGGTGTTCTCTCTCTGTGTGTGTTTTTGCTTGCTTGCTTGCTTGCTTGTTGGCTGGTTGGGTTGTTTGTTTGATTGATTGACTGATTGATTGGTTGATTGATTGTTTGCGTGTTTCTGTCATTGTTTGTTTGCTTGCCTGCTTGCTTGGTTGTGTGTTTGTTTGTTTGTTTGTGTGCTTGTTTGTTTGTTTGTTTGGTTGGTTGGTTGTTTGTTTGTTTGTTTGTTTGTTTGTTTGTTTGTTTGTTTGTTTGTTTCTTTGGTTGTTTGTTTGTTTGTTTGTTTGTTTGTTTGTTTCTTTGTTTCTTTGTTTGTTTCTTTGTTTGTTTGTTTGTTTGTTTGTTTGTTTGTTTGTGTGTTTCTGTGGTTGTCTGATTGCTTGCTTGCTGCTTGTTTGTTTGTTTGACGTTGTTTGTTTTCGTGTGCTTGTGCGCTGGGTATGTGTGGTTGTGCCTTGTGTGTGTGTGTTTCTGTGTGGCTATATTTGGTCTGTGTGTGTGTGCGTGGTGTGTGATGCGTCACGTGTGTTGTGTGTTGTATGTTGTTGTTTTTTTGTGTTTGTGTGTGGTACGTTGTATATTTGTGTGTTGTGTGTGTGTGTGTTGGTGGTGTGTGTGTGTGTGTTGAGTGTGTGTGTGTGTGTGTGCTGTGTGTTGTTTGCGTGTGGCGTTTGTGTGTGTGTGTGGGTGTTTGCTTGCTTGCTTGCTTGCTTGCTTGCTTGCTTGTTTGTTTGTTTGTTTGTTTGTTTGTTTGTTTGTTCTTGTGTGTGTATCGTGCTTAGTGACTAAGTGAATGACATGTCCTTAGAAACTGTCGATTCGCACATTTTCTCAAAAGGGACGACTCAGGTGAGCCCTGGAATTCCATAATGTGGTCCCATTTTGCCTTTCTGGTTGGACTGGAAGCGTGGATTTTTTTTGAGTCTGCCTAAGGTGTGCGCGGGTGTGAGTTGAGGGTTTTCTGCGATTCCGCAGGCTCGAGGAAAACTATCAGACCAAGTTGGCGGCAATGCAGCGTTGCAGTACCTGCGACCTGGCCAATTTTTTCGCCCATCCCCCAACCACTCCTTTGCTGCCGGGGGGGGGGGGGGTTTGGTCACTCCCCCGGCTCCTCTCCGCTTCAACCAGGCCACGTGGCATGGGTTGCGGGCCATGGGGCAGCTGGACAGTCTCTAGAGTCATATCTGTCCGTTTTAGCTTGGTTTGGTTCAGCATCGATGGGTTGCCCTGGGTTCAGTTTGGGTCTATATCTCTATTCATCTACCAGGGCCATCTATTTTCCGAAAGGACACCTGTCACCTATGTCTGGGGACCTGTTTTGCGGGATTGTGGATGGCTGATGTTTGTTGCGGAGTTGTTTCCCCCATCTAAGTTGCTTTTTGGAAAGTCGGTTCAGGTACCTGCGCAGCGGCTTTCCCAAGGTTCCATAATGCGCCTGAAAGTGTGAACCTTGTTGTTTTTTTTTCTCAGGCAAGTGAGGATATACATATATGTGTTCGCGTTTGGGCGTCTTGTTTGGTTGGTTTGGCCTTAAGAGGAGAACCATTTTTTAGGCGGGGGGTCTACATCCCTTGGACAACATACCCATTTGGTGAAATTGAGCAGTTTGTTGGTCTTCGGGTCCAGATAGCCGATCGAAAGTTGCAAAGCGTCGGCATGACCCATGCCGAAGCTGAAAACGCTCGATATGTTTCCTTGTAAGCCACAGGCAATATGTCCTTTGGTTTCAGGTTTCAGGGACTTGGCTAGGTTGATCCCGCCATATTTCGGGAGTCGTTCCGATGTTCGGTGCAAGTCCGGAAGGATCAGATCAGACCTGATCGCCCAAAGGTTTCTTTTAAGGGCGGGGGGTCCCGAAAGAACTAAAAGCGCCTGAAGTGGAAGGTTCCGCTTTAGACGTCCCGCCCCCAAGGCAAGGATAAGATGGCTGCCATGTGGCTGGGTGGGGCTGAGGGTCTCTGTTCTACGCTTCTGTACATTCCCCCCTTTTGGGTTCTCCTGTTGGTCCCTTGTCCAGAAAACGGATTTGATGTGGCGAATCTGTGGATCCACCCCTGTATATGTACATATGTAAAAGAGTCCTAAAAAAATGGACCTACAGGGAGAAGAACTGGTGAAATCCACAAAAAGCGCAAACACAAATCGGTTGTCTTGATTTCTGTATGTTTGTTCTGGGTTTTCCAGTGATCCAATCCTTTTTGCAGACATAAACTTTGAGATTTTCCGCTTGAGTCTGGTTTATACTGTGTAACTTTTAGCAAGGGAAGGCACCGCTTGGCCGCCATTGCATGGGTAAGGGGCACAAACCACCCTGTTTTTTTTTTTTTTTGGGGGGGGGGGGGCGGAGGGTTTTCCTCTTGACCAATTTCCCGCGGCCAAGTTCTTCGGAGCGCCGGGGGATTGGACGTCACCAGGTTTGCGACGCCTTCCTTTGAAGAACTCGAGCCTCTGCCTGCCCAAGCCTGAGGAGCATCTCGGCCATTTTTCAGCCGAGACACGTTCTCCTTAAAAGATACATTTTGCCCATTTGAAACATGGCTTTTTCCACCAAAATAAAGTTGGAAACCACCATTTACAAGGCAATGTTCAGTTGTATAATATAAAGATCCCTGTTCTTCCTGTCGCCTTGGAAGTCATTGGGTTTTCCGGCTGGTGTGCCAGAAACCTTTGTCTTCTCCGAGATTCTCCCGGGTCGAACCGAAATTCTGAGAGTCGGACCTTTTTTGTTGTAAAGGAATATTTGTTGTACTTTCCCCTGTTGGTTTTTTGTTTGTCTTGCTGAAATGTTCCCTTCTGGTACTTCCCTTCTGCTGAAATGATGCTTGTGAGAGATGCAGGGGCCCTGAGAAATGGCTCATGACCCCGAGAAAGGGAATTTCCAGGTCCATTCCATTTCTCATTCCCTGAGCAAGTCGTATTTTCCAGTGTTAGTTTTGAAGGGATAACTACCGGAATTATGTGTATGTTTCTTCAGTGGACTTATGCAAAAGCAAGGGACCCTTGTCATCTCAGAGCGAAGGGAAGGAAAAGAAGCGGGGGTAAGGACGATTTACCTCTAAGACACGCGCCCGGCGATCTTTCCGCTTTCTCCACATGTGGTACCCAGGCCGGTGGTACCACCTTTAGCTGGTTCGATAGGCCAAGAGCGAATTGGAATGACCCAAGCTGAACATCCCAAGCGGAGGCTAAGCCACATGTGTTTTATTAATTAACGTCAATTTTCTCTCGCATCAGCTCATGGAGGATGTCTTCACCTTACCCTCATTGGTGGTTTGGAGGTTGGAAGTTTCAGCTCCTTTTGACGCCAACTGGGAAGGTGCCACCTCCAGTCCGGCCAAATCACATGGGGATCAGCGTGCGGTGAAGTTGGCCTGCAAACACGGAAGTGCATGGACTCCTTTGAGAAGTATGAGACTATGAGAAGTCCCCCCCCGCTGCCTCCCAGAAGCCGGCAAAGTGAATGCCAACTCGTGAGCCCATGGGAGCCCTGGGTGTAAAGTTCCTTGGCATCGGAAGGAGTTGGATCCAGTTCTTTTCATCGCCAGGCTTGGCCTAGCTTTAAAATATGCTTGCCTTTTTTCTTGCTAGTTCTCAGCATGAGGGAATGATCCTATCTATCACTTGTCCCTGGGTTCATTCCCACGTTCCCTACTTATTGCACCAGCATTGTGTGTTACTTCATGTTCTCAGCCAGCAAAAGTTTTCAGCTTCTCTCAGGTGGCCTACGGAACCATGACAGACGACAGCATCCAACCTTGAATGCCCAATTACTAGGCTAGGTACCCCCTTCCCCAGTTTGAAGGGACTACATTGGCTGGGACAGGGTGGCCCCCATGCAGTTTCCCTTTTTTCATCCCATGCGAGGCATTACGACGCTTGGGAAGGCCGGCGCTTGGGACCCTTTCGGCTCCATGGGGCCATCGAAATCGAGCGAAGACTTCGGTGATTCGAATTGAGCGCGGTGAAAAACCATTGTGTCACATGGCTATGAATCAAGTGATTGGTGGACATCAGTCCCCACCTGAATGATGTCCACCAATGGGCCTCTAATCAAAATTCATACCGTTTCGCTGCCCAAAAATATGAGGGCCTTGAACCCCCCCAAAGGCTTCACATCATGAGGTCTTGGGCTCCTCGGCGTTGTGGTTTGTTTGCCCCCAGTTCAATCAGCCGGATATCAGCGCAAGCCATGTAGGCCTCCAAGGCTTCAGGTGTTGTAACATGTGCAGATCGGTGTGGCTTTCATGATTTTCTGGTTTTCTCTTGTAATATGCGCACTCATACCTTAGCTGGGCCTGAGGCAAAAGTCGAACCCTCATTTCCCTACCATCATTTACCCAGTGTGCGTTACTCTCTGCAGATTTTCCTCCAAAGCATTGAGCATGCTTCGGCAACCCAAGCACGGACCCAAGAAACAGCAGCAGAAAAGCAAAATGAAGTGCAGGCCCAACAGCCAAGCAACCACTCATCCCGGATGCATCCCCTTACCTCCCTTCTTTTTGCTTGAAACAAGACCCTACTTTACAGCCTTAAGGGTTGCTTTGGGGGGAAGAGGGGGAGAGGCGAGCTCTCTTTGGAGGCTTCCCCGGCATAGAGCTCCCTCAGAACTCATGCTTCGTGAGCTTTCTGATGGACTATGCAGGTCCTTGAGGCATCCCCTTTTTCAGTTGAACGCCATGGCTTTGCGTTTTGCTTGCTTCAAGAAGCCTTTTTTTTGGCGCGGGGTTCGCGGCAGCCTTCAGGGCGGGTTCCAGAAGGTTCCGGAGGGTTTCAGGGGCTGTCGGGGGTGTTCGACATACTTGGGCATCATGCATTGCAACCACATCACCTTTTCTAGGTTTTGGATACAAGAATTTGCAGTGATTGATGTAGAATGTGAGTGAATGCCCTCTGAACGTCAAACAACCCCACACCAGATCCAGAATTCAAACTTAGATACAAGCATACTTCACCCATGTGTTGCACAAATGAAACATTCAGACTCCCCCGTCTCGCCAGTTCGAGCCCAGAATTCGAGGCTTGAGGAAGGACGAGCGGGTGCTGCCGGCCACTTCAGAGGCGGACGTGGACTTCTTCTCTCCTTGCCACGGGCCCCGTGTGGGATGAGCGATCCGAGTCCGCAGTTTTGGGCTACAAAGGTGTCCTTTTCATCGGCTGGTTCGGGTAGAGATGGATGGGTTCACTGGTTTCGAGCATGTGTTTGTCCATTTGCCAGGGCCATCTAGTTTGCCAAAGCGGACACCTTTGTGTTGACGACGACTGAGGTGTCCCGGGAAAGGGTTGCGTGTTTTCTTTCTTTTTTCTCAAGGGCTGCGGTGTCTGTGTTGCTTTTCAGGTGGGATTTCGGAAAGTATGTTCGAAGTGGAGCCCCTGCAAGCTGTCCATTGTTGTTCTTGAAGTCCACCGGAATGGGTTGCGGACGTTCCTGCGAAAATTGCGGCTTTGCTTTCTGACCTCGGACACCCAGAGGCTTCAGGCCAAAAGGCCGTCCGCACGGCACATGTGCCGTTTCAAGCCAGCCTTCAGCCTTCAGCTTCTGCCCTTCACCCTGCGATGCTTGCGCCCCTTTGACACCATCGCCAAGCGATGGTTCGAGCGGAGCGCGGCAGCGGGAGTTCTCGCGTTTGAGGCCGGCCCCCTCCGGCGCCCTGGAAGACAGGGTAATTCTCAGTTGTCACAATTCAATCAGGTGTATGGTGTTCCAACGATGAACAAGAATACCCTCCTGTCCACTAAGATGGAGACCAGCATGCGCACCCATTTTGTCGGAGGGGTCCCATGTTGTTTGGAAACTACACAATCCCTACTCCAACCAGCTACCATCAATCACCCCATGTTTGCGTTTAAGATCGCAAGGGTAATTTTACGCTAAATGCCTCCTTTTTAAGTCGCGGACCTGTTAGGCGGGGGGTTTGAACTGGGGTTGCCCTCCAAATCCAAACGTCGCTGATGTGTGAATTCGGTGGCCACTTAGATCAACTTCAGATCGTTGGCTCGGTCCCTATATGAGCGGCCTATATTCACTGTCATCTACTGTAGCCAAGAGTGTAGCGTTGGGTACGATCACCAGTAGCTAAATGAAACAACGCCATGTCATAGGGACAACAATCACATTGATATCCCCTTGGATGATTTCAATATCAGCGATTTTGGGGCAGGGCGTAGCTTTCTGTGGGAACAAATAAGATACCCTTTGATTTATGCGCCAAGCGATGGGCTGCGAAGGACTCTTGGGACAATGCCGGGGTGTTGAATGCAGCGATTTCTTTGCGCGAATTCTTTGAAGATCCCAAAGTGTTCAAGTTCTGAATGCGGGTGTGATGCATGGTGAACCCGCGGTGAGTCAGAATAGCCGATGTCTTCGGCGTAAGCCATAGGTTTGATCCACCTTGGTTTGTGACCTCTTTAGGGACAATGGGGGAGAGCTCAACATTTCTTGTGTTTGGTAGATTTGGGGTTCCCCTACTTAGACATCAGTTCAGTGACACGCCGTAAGTCCCTCTGGAGGGTTTGGGACCCACTGAGCATGGGTGTCTGTTTGTTGAGGCCCTTTTTGGACTGAAGGCAAGGCGAAGGGAAACCACTGATTTGGGGTTACCCGAAAGACAGGCCCTCCAAGACCAGCTGTTTGGACCGGCCTCCTCGGGTTTTTCGGAACGTCGCTTGGCACTTGGCTGCAGTGCTTGCGTGGCTTTGGATTTGAACCCCTGAATCTTGTAGAGGCAAAATGAAAAACTACTCCCGGAACACCTGAAAAAACACTGATCCAAACCAAAAATGGAAAAAGTGGGAAGCTGACAATCTAAACATGTTGTGTAGTTGAATGCGGAACAAAGCTGGGTGTTTTGTTCCGTCTCTTAAAGGTGTTGTTGTTTTTTTCCCCCAAAGAACATGGAAGAACATGTGTCTGAGTTAGAAGAAGCTTGGCTTTTGGGCACCGCTATGCCAGAGAGTTCTGACTGTCAATTAGCTCAAGCCTTCACTAGCTTGAAGTAGTTTGGGAAACCCTTCAGGGAACCTCCATTTGGAAGCATTGTTTACTGCTGGCGGTCATTTCCCACGGAGCCTAGATGTGAATGCGTTGCGCTTTTTTGGGAGACTTTGGCTGTGTTGCTCTCGCAAGTTCCATGGGCAACAATGGACCAGTGCTTTATAGCGTTGGTTTTGATAAACATTATTCCAGCCATCAAATGGATGAGTCACGTTCTTCCCTTTCGAGACTTCCAAAGCCGTAACACATGAAAGTAAGGCTTGATTCCCTTGATTGTTTCACCAAGCTTGAGCTTGGAACCCTTCGTTGTCCGTTGACAAGTGAACAATCCGGTAAAGGTCGCCACTGGAGAAAAAAAACACAAAAAACCTCAGCCCAAGCCAAGCAGCGGCCAGGTGTTTTTCGGGGTCTCGGTTCGAAGCACTCAGATCCCTATTGAGCCACCAGTTGGGTCTGTGGGCAAGCATAGGTGTCCTTTTTGGTTGGTTTGCTTAAAAAATAGAGGGCCCTGGTTTGGCTGGGGTTTATTCCATTTACCAGGGCCATCGATTTTTCCCAAAGGCCACCTATGTGGTTGCAAGTGGGATGTTGGAACTTGGGGTGCCTCCTTTGCCCGCTCCGAAGTGGCCAGATCCGATCGAACTCCGCAGGGTTCTGCAAATGCTTCGATATTTTCTTCTCTGACCCTGGGACGCGACCCGGGCCAAAATCCATGCAGGCGAAATCCATAACTAGTTTCCGACTGGATGGGTTTGCCTCAGTTTCCGGAAGGCGTTGCGTTTCAATATTAGCTCAGGTGATATCACAGCATGAGGTGCTCTTTTTAGTGAACCTATTTGGGCTAGATGTTGGGGAAAAACAGAACACGTGGGATGAACTCAAGTCCTCACCATTGCGCCCAATGCTACTTAAGTGAGCCCTGAGCATGCACCATGATCAATGCTGGTTTCTGCACTTGGGGAAAGCGCTCTGTTCCATTTGTTTCGGACGCACATTTGCACTTTCTTCCGAAGGGGCGTTGCGAATGTGTGCGTGTGTCATGTTTGCGTGCCAAAGATCCGCTAAAACTGTGGGTGAGCAAATCCTTGCACCAGTGCACCAGTTGGGATGGATTGCCCTATCAATACTGCAAATCACCTACCACATGGTGCCGGAATTTGTCCATCCACAACTTGGCTGGGAGGTTAGTACATTTTAAAGATATTGCAGCTCATTGCACAACCCTGATGTATCTGTCTCCGCTCGTTCGCCTCTTCGACTCGCGACTCTCGCCCTTGGCCTTGGCTTCCGCGGAATGCCGCGTGACAAGAGAGCCCTGTGAACATCCTCGTCGAGTTGCTGTGTGCAAGATAGCACGCATCTTGTTGAATCTTCCGAAAAAGGAAACCAAAGGGGGAAGCTCAAGGCGATTCTGGACCGAGACAAGGGCATGAAAAGGGCATGTGCAATTCTCTGAAAAGTCTCAGGCCCCCGGCATCTTGGAAGTGCTCACAGGAGTCAGGAGGCTTGCCTTCCGGTACAGGAACTGTGTGTCCCATGTCCAATCGCTTTACTTCAATCCAGGCAAGACGGGCGTTTGCAGATCATTGTAGCGCTGCGGCTGTTGCAGTTTTCTTGCTCCCTGTGGGTTCTCTCAAAGGCCAGTTGCGGCCAGACAGGGCGCAGTCGAGCAAGCGAAGTTCAAGACGAGTCCGGCCTCCATTTCTCGAAATTCGGGTGCAAAAAAAAGGCTGCGGCAGGGCTTCCATGTGATGGTTGGCCCATTTGGTCAAATACCGGGTCTCTAGCACAGAGGTGTCCATTTTAAGTTATGTTGGCTAGAAATAGAAGGCGCTGGTTTAGATTGGTTTTGGTCTATTTACCAGCGCCATCTATTTATCCAAAGGTCGCCTATGCTTTGGCATGTGTGTGTGTGTGTGTTTTTGTTAAATGTCAACTTGGGAATCCGAAGAACCAACAGGGTGTGTCACGTGTCTTTTTTTGGTACCCCCTTTTTTGGGGTGGTTTTCACACTTCATGGGTTTATGGATCCTTGATACTTTTTTGGAAGACCACTTTCGTGGTAAACATGTTTTTTTTTAGAAGCGAGTTAAAGGGACGCCCAAAAAAGCACCACCATTTGGGGGGGTCCCCGACACAGCTCCCAATCAGAGGAATTTCTGCCACAGTATGATTTAAACATGGACCCCGGTAGACGCAGCCTGCGGGTACGATATTTCAACAATATCCATCTCTCCTTTGTCAGCAAATGCAACCTGTTCAGGCACGGGTATATTCACCACCCCCCAATGCCCAATTGTTAAGGCCAAGACAGAGCAAGGCAACAGCAGGCGCTAAAAAGTTCGGACAAGAGATTAACTAGACCAGAAGCTGTTTCTGTAGCGGGAACAACGTCGGCTTTAGACAAATGCTTGGTTATGAGTTCAGGTGATGGGATCGAGCTTTTTTGGGGAGGGAGCGTGTTCGAGTGTCCCTTAACGTAAGTCAACGAGCGAAAGGAGTCCGTATTTCCAAGGAGTCACTGGTTGCAAGCAAGCTGATGATTGTTGCTTGTCCAGTTGATTACCAGCCTGGTTGATTTTAAGGAAGGACATCCTGTACTCCATCAGATGGCTTAATCTGGGCAGTGCCGGCAACCTTGATAATCTATCTATTGAAGACTTGAGCTGCACATCCGCTCATATGAGGGGCATATAGTGCGCCTCTGTTTTGACGTATGGGGTAGCGGGTGTGCGGTATATACTCTTCATTCGCAACTCACCCAGTTATCAGTTGCGAGTCAAAGACATGTAAACGGAGTGCTTCTACCAGTTGCTTGGAAGTCTGGCATTCAACTACCTGAAGACCATTTGAATGGCAGGTTGGCAATAACATTGGCTTCAGTTTCGGCCGATCCTCTCAGCCCAGAGGCTCCCGATGGATTTAGGGCCCGATTTAACCGCCAGGTTTTGAGACCGGGTCCCAAACACCAATTCTTGGGGTGTCTAATGCTTCGGGGGTCGGGTCTTCCATTGAAAGCCGAAGCCAGCCTTTGGGAGGCAGGATTTGGGCCACTGAGTTCCCATTTCTTTGAGTTTGGAGATGCCTGTTGACTCTCGAAGCGGCCATGGGTCAAAATCCAAAGCCCGTACCCCCAGTGCACATCAACCAATCCAACCACGAAAATAGGAAACCTAAAATGAGTAGTGAATTCACCTACCCCAAAATGGGATCCCATGGGTTTTGACAACCACAGCCACGTCTTTTCTGAAGAAGCAGGATGGTGATGTGTGCGGAGGGTTTTCGTCGTTTTGGGAGGGCGCGGGTTCGTTGTCGTTGTGCTCCATGGAAAAGGCAAACCCTCCATTTGCTTAAGAATATGTTTTGTTTTGATTGAAGAGAAATCATCCCCTGGTTGTTTGATGGTGTCTCACGTTGATCAAGGGACCACCCTCTAAAAATCAGGGCCGACATGGGAAGAGCAACCATGCTTCCAGGGACCTGGCAAGTGAACGCAACATGGACTTTTGGGGCCTGGTGGCCCATTTTGGGATTGTCTTCGTCGGGAACCGCCAAAGTGTGCTCCGCAATTCCGCAGCTGTTTCGGTTTCCTGGTTTCGGTGGGACTGCAGCCCTTTCAGTGGCAACAAAGGATGCTTCTAAGAAACTGCTGCTAGAAAGGCAGAACGAACGTTTTAATTGAAGTGCACCTGCTTTTTAAAGGAAATTCAGCCCCACACCTGTTTTTGGTCGTAGATGTCCTGCTGGTTTCCATGAATTTTTTGGATGACATTGGATGACCAGTGACCACACAGGACGTCACAAGCTCTTGAATGTTCTGGGACAATATGAAGCTAGTCCAGCTCAGCAGCTTACCGCACTAACATGTTAACATGCAACATGTGCTTGCGTGTTGCATGCCGAGGCTAGAGCAATGAACGCAGCTGAATGTGTGTTTTTCCTTTGCCGTGGAGGGCCCTAAGTAGGTCACAGCCAGAGTTCCTAACCGTAACCATTTGCTCACTTGGGAAGTGAGCTAAGTTGAGGCCAACAAATTGGCTTTAGTTTGTGACTGCCCGCCGTATTTTGCTGACATGCCAGAGGCGGGAACGGGGGGGACTGGCTTCTAGACACTCCAACCAGCTGGCAGAGGGCCAAAGGCTAAAACAGAGGCCAACCGAAACAGGGGTTGGGGGGCTTTTGACACTACTTGGCATGACCTCTTCTCTTTGGCAGTCCATTTGGAGAGCATCATCAGGGGATCAAGTTTTGTTTCCAAGATCCTTCAAGCTGGGTTTGTCATTTGTTAGGGGATCCCCCAAAAAGATTGGTTTTCTTTGGTTGTCGCTTTCAACCAAACCCAAAAAAGTGCACCCACAAAAAGAAGACAGACCCAAATGCTGGGCCCTTCTTCCCTTGAACGCCATAGGAGTCAAAGCTGGCACATAGAATTTCCTGGAGGGACATGAAACCACAAAACGCAAGACCCCCAAAACACGGCGGTTTTGTGGCCGATTTTTTTTTGGGGGGAGTCTATGTTAACCTGGAGAGGAAAAGGGCACTTGTTCTGCACGTTTCTCGGACCCCGTCAATGTACAATAGCACATATTGATCAAGATTTGTTTAACTTCTTCAGTTTTCAATGGAACTGGTCACGATTGGTAATGTACATCAGGCTGGTTTGGATTTTTCTGGATTAAGATTTGAACCCCAAGTTCTTGCGGGTTTAGTTGGGAAGCCACCCCCGTTTCACCGTCTATTGGGCAGGTGAGTGCAGGTCGGTTCCTTGGTCTCGTTTCGTTGGTGTGGACTTTGAGCTGTTTGAGACGTAGTGGCAAACAGCACAAATGCAATGGTTGTCACCCCCCTTACTTCCAGCGGGGGCAAATGGAGGTTCAGGAGGGGGGTTCTTACATCTCATCATATTTACGGGCTACATTCCTGGCCAAGGTGACTTTTGCTGATCATTCCATGCACTCACTCCGTTGGGATGTTTTTCGGCGCGAAGAAAAGCAGCGTTGCCAGGCCAGACGTGGCGCGCCTTGGCCACGTGGGGATTTGGGGTTCCCATGCCCCCCATCCCCCCTCCGGGGCTTTTCTTCGCCGGGTTCTGGGGAAGAAACAGGAAAAGGCAGGCTTAGCCGTAATCAAGGGCATATGGCTGTGGTTGTCAAAAATAGTTGGTAAACCCAAAATGGTTTGCCCTGGCAAATGGACACATGGACACTGGGGGGTTAATTTTGACACATACCCATATATCACATGGAAACCAAGCATCATGTGTGAAGGGGGAGGCCCACCAAATCAAGGGAACCCTCTCCGTTCAGTCTTCTCGGTGCAGGAGTTGGTTTTTGCATGGAAGGGTTGGTCTGTGACCTCGTGCGGGTGACTGTTCGCTTCGGGGGGGGGGGGCTCTTGTTGGGGACCCTTGGTCGAGTCCCATGTTGATTTCAGAGCACTCAGGGTCGGCATTGGGAGTTTGGGGGAGTCAAGTGAAGGATCGTTGCCCCGGAGGGTTGCTCCCGTGGCCAACATCATACCAGAGCCCATGTGTTTTTGTTGTTTTTAGTTGGTACCTTTTGTTGGTGTTTTTAAAGGGAAACCAAGAGGGAAGCCACCAATTCGGGGGGGGGGGGGGGGGCGGCCCAAAAAATCACCCAGGTCTTCCCAGCCGAATCGGTGCTTTTCTGGAACCCGGCACAACTCACAACCCCAGAAACCAAGCCCCGAATGGTGTCCCTACGCTTAAGGGATCCACTGGACGAGAAGACCGTTCAACCGGAACCCGTGGATTTTAACAATGGGAATGTGTCCTAAAGTGAGGTACCAAAAAGTAAGGCCCTTCTGATTCGCCTGAAACAAAGCCAGGCTTGGCCCCCTGCAAAGGCTAGCTTGGGGTTTGTTAAGTGGGAAAACTCAAGAACACACACGTCCGAAAAACAAGAAGCACGGGCATTCCAAGTAGTGGAATTGCATCTGAAAACAAACTCACTAAGGGTAAGCCACGCTTTCGTCAACAGGCCTGTGAACAGGTGATCCTTTTTGATTTGATTTTGTGGCTCGCAAAATGGATCAAACCAAAGTCGGTGAGGAATATGAAAGGCTATCAAAGGGCATGCGAGGGCGGAATACCCTGCCTGCCTAACCCATAACTCTACTTGGCCTTGGCCCGAACTAGGCTTTTTCCAAGATTTTAAACACAGGATGGTGTGCCTTTTAAACCAGGGCTGGATTTTGTCAACGTTCCAGACCCTTCCCCCAAAGCAGCCTGGTGCCAAATGGCACCCATTTCAACGTTTCGAAAGGAAACCAGCGGATAGGACAGGTGGTTGTTTTTCGAGACTGCTTCAGTACCTGGATGTAGAGCCCAGCTCAAAATGGGTACGGCTTCCGCTTGCGAAGCGCCTCAGGCGCCGGACTCTCCCAAATCGGGTGCCTCTCCGAAAACTCCGAAGACCGTCACTCGCCAAGACTAGCCACGGCAACATTTCGCATAGGGCTTCTGTTTAAAGGGGACGAATTAATTCCCGAAGACCATAGGCGCCCTTAACTTGCTGCTTCTCAGATCAAGAGAGGGGGTGCAGGAAAAGCATAAAGGAAACCAACTGGAATGGTTCATGCTCACTTTCGACCAGTTTCTTGGCACTTTTTGAGCGCATGGACCGCGGTGATTTAAACAAGAAGAAACAAAAACAGCACGGCTTTTCTGAAGCCCGGGGGGGAGGTTGTATTATTCCCCTAGAGCCATCCCTTGAACAGGAAATGAGTCCAACACAGATGTTGCCTCAAGAGTTCCATGTTGCATTGGACTTGGCGTAGCTGACCAGGCTCACACCTTTTTTTGGGGGGGTTGCCGTATCATGTTGCAAACATCTAATGGGAGAAGCCCGAAAGTCGTTGTTTGTCGTCGCAGCTGCTGTGGGCGTTTTTGGGTTCCGGAAAGTTTTCGGGGCTGCTGTTGGATGCCACTCGGGCTTTGCGTGTTTCCCAAAGAGCCCGGGTTTTTAACACTTACCCTTTTTGAGTAGCGTAAGTACGCAATGGCAAAGCACCCCCTATGTTGTCAAGTATATACAGGGTTTCTCTTCCGAGGGGTGATGGGAGGGACACGACTGACCTTGCCAAAGCCAAGCTCTTGTCTTGGCTCACTTGTTCAATACCAACCTTAGATATGTTTGGTTTGCCCTTTGTCCAAATTTAGTAAAGGTCCCAGAAACCGCATTTCCAGGTCCAGGCAAGTAAGCTTGTTTGTTTCTGTTTCAGTCCTGCGGCAACAATCCCCCACGCCTTCGGCCTTCTTTGGGTCTCTAAGTGTTATCCCCGGGCATCTGTGTTTCCCTTGGTTGTAAAGGGAGCCCAACATGGTTGTTGTTGGGAAACATTTTACATTTTTGCTTGTTCTGGTTTAGTGGGAAATCCCCACTTAGCTGCTAAAATTTCAATTTGTGCTCCCCTTCCAACGTCAACCAAGCCAAAAGTGAAGCCTTTTTGCGCCCATTGTTTGGGGGGGTGGGGTGTCCGATTCCAAAGGGCCTTGGCGCTGCGCAAGCAATCCATTCAGGTCCCATCTTGGGAGTGGTTGGCTTCCGGGTGTCATTTCTACGCCCCCAACAAAATATCCGGGGCCGGGCCCCCAAACTGAAGCAAGAACACGGCTTGCGCTTCTTGGGTTTCAAGGCCGAGTGAATTGCCTAAGTTACCCCTCCCTTGTTCATTGCCAGGTGTGCTGTGCATCGTCTTTACTTTTGGGCCTTTTTGGTTTTCCACGTCATTTCCCATGGGTCCAAGTTGGGACTTGTTTGGTTGGATCAGCCCCTGACCGCTCCCAGCTCCCAGCTCCGGAGGACGTGAATGAGCTGCTTTCGGCGGACAGCCCTGCCAGCACGGTGAGGTCCAAGTCCAATGCGTCTCGGAGAGCAAAGGGCCGTCCCATGGACAAGAATATACCTGGAGTCTCCATAACCCTTCAAAAACAGGCCCATGCCCCCATTAGTTAGGTATGACCCCATTTTTTAAGGTTCATGGAGACTCTGGGTATTTATGATAATGGGTGGCTCGTGTTTCTTTTTTGGGCCTGTCAGATGATCATTTTGGGCAATTTAGCCGAGCCCCGGTCCAGGGGTGAAAAGGAGCGCGAGCCGAGGAGGAAGGTCCGTTGCTTGGTCATTCCTGATGTCAGGTTGGTGAGTTAGAGCGTTGTCCAACATACACTGTGTTAGAGCGGCCTTCGGATGGACGAGCTGATTTGGCGCGATTTGGGTAGTGAATGTGAGCAGTTTGAGGCGTTCGGGGATCCTGATTTGGGTGTGGCTCAAAATTAAATGGGGGCAAACCGCACGTTTTGGTCCATGTTTCCACTTACCAGGGTTCGATTTTGGTACCGGTTTTTTGAGCCACGGGCACATATATATATATATACACATACCTTTGTGGATGCGTTCAAAGGAAGGAAGGAAGTCAGAAGCTGCTGTCACCCCCACCACTAAACCCCTTCTTGCTTGGCAAGCAACGCCAAACAGGCTTTGCTTTGCTACCAGGCGGCCAGCCACTTGCAAATGGAGATCGGTCATCCAACTTGGACTCGCATCCGATCGAAGACTCACCGGAACTTGATCGGGGGTCCCGGGAGGCCATGTTTCTCTGGCCGTTTGGTGGGTTCCATGCGGGGATGGTAACTGTTGACACCCGCGAAGTTTTGCAGACCCCCTGTTTCCGAAGAAGAAGGTGAAGTCAGTTGCACAGCTGCGGCGAATAGACCTCACCAGTTTGGAACTCGCAGACGGTTTTTTGTTGTCTGTAGGATCGTAACCCCGCAATGCCCATTGCTGGGAGAATGCCAATCCATTATTTGCACGAGGAGTTGCTTACCCCTCCACCAAAACAGGCAAACCATTCCGGGCCGCCCCGTATCGCGCTCAGAGCAAGAAGTCCACAAAGAGGAAAGCGGCAGAGGAGCGAGGCATTCGGCCGGTGAGGGGTTCCAAAGGCGTCGGTGTTGGCGCCTGAAAGGGGGGTGTCGGACAGGGGGCCCGAAGTTTGTCCTTTCTAAACATTTGCTTGGCTCAGGGCTTCGAATCCGAATCCACACACACACACACCAAAGCAAAACTTTGTCGAATTTTGCTTGGATGTTAGGACTGTAACTCTTTTTTTTGCCAACTACTGGGTTTTCCGTATTGCGCCATTACAAGTTAGTCACTTTTAGCAGAGCAGAAAGCCACCGAGCAAACAGAACCTGAGCCGCTCCGCGGATTCGCCACGGATTCGCCACGTGTCGCAGGAGGCGAAGCGGAAGGCGGAGGAGCTACGAGCAGAGCTCCAGCGCCAAGAGGAGCGGTGCCGGGGATGGATGCTGGGGACGTTCAACTACGTCCCCCATGGTTGTTGGGAAGCATTTTACGTTTTTGCTTCTTGTGGTTTCGTGGGAAATCCCCATTAACTGCTAATTATTATTTTTTGCTCCCCTTCCAACGTCAACCAAGCCCCAGCCAGGTGCCAACTTTTAACGTTCTGGTGGATGGTTTTGGAGGAACAGCCACGCGGAAACAGACCCAGACTAGGTTTTGCAGTTAGGTGCCAACGTTTACCGTTTCTTTTTTGGTTGGTTTAGGGTTCCAAACTACTAGGGTGCCAACTTATTCTAACCTCCCAAATCTGGAGGACCTAGTCAAGTCACCTCTGTGCCATGGTCCTCAAGAGACCGGTTCCTTTACTTGGGGAAAACGTTGGGATCATCCACCTCAGGATCCTTAGGAATATGATGATGCCTAGGGATCCATGACAATTGGCCATGTAAGGATCGAGTTTTCACCAGGCACTGGGTCAAGGAATCTCAAGGACTTTTCCAGATGTCATGACTTTTACATGTCTGGAGCACATCTCCTTGAGTTCTTGAAGGCGGACCCTGAATTGCGCAGAGGGTGGCTGCCAATGGGTCTGCTAGCACCGTGCTCGCCCAACCCGGGGCAGCTCCATGTTTTGTGCCCGCTTCAACTCCCCAGTTGTCAAGTTGCCTAGCTTTGTCCCAGCTTTCCCACACAGCGCGTGAGTTCTCAAAGAAAGCATACTAGTACCATGGAAGTTTGTTAAACTTCCTTTGATCATTGTGGCTTAATCCGGTCTCAAGGTGCCCAGGCCCTACAGCCTTTCTTATGCCAGGATAGTAAGTGGGTTTTATCCAGAGAGAAATCACCAGCTCGACTCATGGATAGACCCCGGTTTTGCTAGAGACCCCTTAAAGAAAAACGTGGATTTGACAATGTGAACCCGTGGCTTGGCTTAGGGCAATAACATGAAGTAATTTCCGCAATTTCGGCCCCGGTTTTGTCAACCTGGTGGATAGATAGGGGGGGATTCCCCAACGCATCTCCACTAAAACATACTAAAACGTGACCCGATGAATCCACCAAGCCTTTAGGTTTCTGCCCAGGGATGCCCCGCGATGCCCTGATGGGATCCTTGGGTGCATTTGAGGGTAGGGGCCCAGGGCTCCAGTCAGAAGCGCACGAGGAGGAAGCGACGAAGCAGCTGGAGGAGGCGAGCACTCTGAAGGCGAGGAGAATTTGAGGTGAGCTGGTTGCCCGAATCTGCCTGTTTGGAACCTCCAAAGGTGGCCAATTCAATGGAAACTAGTGGCTTGCAACGATTGAAGAGGAAATCCACTGACCCCTGTGTTGAAAGCATAGGTGTCCCTTTTGGTTGTAGGAAGAAAATAGGTGGCCCTCATTTGCCAGGGCCATCGTTTTTGCTAGCAGTTCGATTTTTGCGGGGGTTCGGCAGCTGATTCATTTCGCCAGCTCCACGTTGAGCGACGCATAAGTCTCAGTCTAGTATCATGACAGGGTCTTGATGTCCTTTCTCTCCAACCTGGGAGCCTGGGAACTGACTTGGCTTTGGAATCGGTTCTGCTTCATGTTCCAAGTGTCAACTTGGCAGGTGCCACGTCTAGTTACATGCCCATGAGTTCCAGGCGCTGCTCACATGTGATTCCAAACACGCCGCTGTATGGTTCCATTTCCCCTTCTATTGGGAAGACTGGATAAATGGAATTCGGGGACCACCACCACCACCACCACCACCACGATGTATCAAGTAAGTGTAAGAGACAGAGAGAGAGAGAGAGAGAGAGAGAGAGAAAGAGAGAGAGAGAGAGAGAGAGAGAAAGAGAGAGAGACAGACCGTTCGAAATTGTTCTAGACAAATTGATTCAAAACTCAAGCGATCGCTCGTGAATGATATTTATGACAGACAAAGCGCTCGTGACAACTCAAATTTCGCCGAAAACCAAAAGATTCAGAACAACAAGTAGGTTCCATTACGGGTTCTAATAACAATTTAGTGGCACTTTTGCACTGCGTGTATCTATCAAGCTTGCGATGTCTAAAAATCGCTGTCTTCCGTCAGAGTTCGCAACCTCAACATGGAATGCTAGGTCTTTTGAACGTTTTGTTAGATTAATCTTGTGCGCCCTGTTAAAATCTGTGACAAATAGAAGCAGAAGACAGGAGCGTTTCCCAAACACAGTCAAGATTGTGTCAGTAAAAGCACTAAAAGCCAATGACATATTTTTTGGCAATCAACGAAGATGTTTACATCGCAGGTTCCGCCAAACAAGCTAGTTCCCTCCCATTCGCCATCCGAGAGTATTCCGGAAAAGCTAGCGATGGCAACTCCGACATAAGAGCCCGCGCTGCTTCTCGCAATGATGGAACTGGTCGCATTCCTGATCCTGGCGAGCTTGTTCCAGCGAGCCCAGGCGCGGTCAAGCTTGCTTGCGCAACTCCGTCTGCGCTTGTTTCGCAGGCTCGCGGGCCTTGGAGGTGCGCGCGGGCTTGCGTGTCTATGCTCGCGTTGTCTTGCGCGTTGCGTGGGGGAAAATTTTGGCGCTTGCCAGGCCCAGGCGTGCGCGCGGCGAGGCGCCGCGTTTTGCTCGAGTCGTATGTGACGGCGCCTCTGCCAGGTTGTTGGCCTTCTCCGCAAGTGACGCAGCGGCCGCGCGGCGCGGCTCTTAGTCTTAGTGTTTTCAGCGAAGAGCAGAAAAGAAGCGCAAGAAAGACACGTCAAAAAAGAACAACGCCTTGCGGGCTTAGGAGAAGAAACGCCTTGGTCACGCCGTGGTCAGCGCCCTATAGCGCTTGCCCGCGCTTGAGGGCTTGTTGGAGAAAGCGTCGCGTGGCCGAGGCCCGGAAGAAGCTCGCCGATCGGAAGGAACGGCCAGCTTGTCTTTCGTTTGCTACGGTTTTAATTGAGTTTCCGCGTGGGTCTGCGAAATTTTCGTTTTTGAAGCGTTGTCCGCGAGGCCGGAACAACTTCGACCTCGCCCCGCTTGACGGGGTCGGCGAAATTCTTGCGGCCCAGCTGGTCAATGGTCAAAAACTCTTGCCGCAGGACGTTTGAAAACTCGTGCTACGACTCCAGAGCGCGGCCCTCAGCTCTGAACACCGTCAAGGCGTTGTTTCTGCGCAAAGTCGCCGGGCTCCCAGCGCGAGGGGGGCGCAAAAGCCTTGAATTGTGTAGGCGCGGGCAAATAGGCGGGTGCGCGAGAGGTTGGGTCAGGCGAGCCGACGTGGCGTCGCGCCTTGCTAGCAAGAGTTCAGAATGAAAGGCTTGCCCTGCCTCCGCAACAAGAGCACGCGTTCCACTGAGGCGTGGCTTGACCTTCGCAAGGACCACGCTCCGAGCTGGTTTTTAGACGTTCTCCGTTGTTGGATTTCGTGCCGCCGGGGCTTCCTGTTTGGGTGTGGACTTGACATTTTCATCCGGCCTGAGACAGCGATTGACACGCGCGCTAAACACTGTCAAATTCGGCCCGCCCGTTTTGTGGGTCTGCTTGGGGCGGGTTTAAAAGAAAGCAGCCTGCAGGAGACAATTCAGAGAAAGGCGAGGCCTTCCGCAACTCCACGTCGGAGTTTGCGAAGGTGCTTTCGCGCAGAGTTCACGCGCGGCCAAGCCTCTTGGACTGCGAGCTTTGTAGTGTTTGTTCTCCTTCGCTTTTTCTTTGCCACGCTCAAGTAGCTGCTCGGGTTGCGCTTGAGCGTTCTCAGGGCGGGCGCGACGGACCAAGAGCTTCGGGAGGACTGCTGAAGGGGTTCGAACCTTGTTGCCGCCGTCGCGCGCGCGATGGACACAGCCATGTCGCGGCGCAGGAGCGGCTGCGATACAGCTTCTCCTCCCTCGCCCAGGCTTCCAACGCATGCTCTTGCTCCCGCCGTGGGGCCCCCTGCGCAGGCGCTGAAACTCCCAGGGCTACGCGCGCGCCGCTCAGTAGCCAAGGCGCTGAGCTTGCGGCGACAGTTCTTTTGTCAGGACTCCTTGGGCGTGCGCCCTTCCAACAAGGCAAAGCCAACTTGGCTTGCAAGCTCCACGACGCTTGCTGCCAGGAAAGAAACCGCTTGCAGCACGCCTTGAATGGCAACCCCGTGGCCCGGGCCCTAGCGCGTTTTTGCGATTTTCAGAACTTCTGTCGGGAAGGGCGCGCGAAGAGAGGCCTGCTCAGCTTGTTTGGACGGAGTAGGGCGGCGCCCCGCCGAGTGTCGTTGGGTGTTGTCAGGAGCCGAAGCGCCCAGGACCACGGCTGGCCAGCAAGGCTGGGCACCTGCGTGTTGAACATGCCGCTCGCTCGCAGGAGCGGAAAAAAGTCCAGCACGCTTTGAGCGGCAACCCTGCAGCCCGAGCCTGACCCGCTCGCACGACCTTTCTCAAGCCCGCGCAAATTGCTCCCGGCAGGGCTTCGGCGGCGGACCGCGCTTTTGTTTTTGTTTCGCGTTGCTTTGCTGTTGGATTGTGAGGCCCGAGCAAAGCATCGAAGAGAACGTGAAGGCGCAAGCCCGGCGGGGCAAGCTCGACAACCTTGGCTTTGCTAGTGCGCGGGAGAGGCTGTGCTGGACGACCTTGCCCGGCACGTGAAAGTGGCGCTCATTGGTTTCCTTAATTTTTTGCATCTCGCCATCGCAGGAGGACACCTGAACTGAGGCGACTGCGGTGAGACGACAGCGGTCTCTTGTCGTTGGTTACCGAATGGACTAGCGTCAGCGCTTGACAGGTCGCGTCCGAAAGCCCTTCCGCGACGCGCTCAGAGCATTCCAACGTTGAGCCCGCCGTCCGTTCCAACCGTGGAAGTGGAGTACACAGCCGGCGCCTCAAAACGCGGTGCTTGCTTTTGGCGCTTTTTGGCCTCGAGCTTAGGTTGTGCCGCTGGAAGTGCGGGAGGCTGCAGCCCGACCGTGACCGCTTTTGTTGCTCGCAATGGCGGGTCGGGCAACAAAGCGCCGCGCGGCCAGCGCTCGCTCTCCTAGCGTCTTGGCCGGGGCCCCAACATCGCGCGTTTGGTTTTTTTCGAGAACCACGCAGCCGCTGCGGTCGCGCCAGTCCGCTGCTTCAGCACAGAAATAAGAGAAAACGAGCGCCGAGGAAGAACGCGACAGCGAAACAAACAAGAAACGAGACAAGAACAACAGCGCCAAAACAGCCAGCTCAGCCAGCGAAGAACGCCTTGACACCGAACAGCAGCTATGAGTTGCGTTGCGCAGATTTCTAACAGTGACGCTGGGACACAACCATTGGGGTACTGAATGTGAGCTTGGCCCCTTTTCACCTTGTCCCTGCTTTAGAATTGCAGAAGCAGATCAGCTTCCCTCTAATTCTTCCAATTTGTGGTTTGGTAGTTAGGGGCTGGTTTCCCCTTACAAGAATGAGGCGTTCAAATCCAAATCCCACAAATCTTTGCATCCTCTGGTGACGGCTTGCCGATGCTGCGGCAGAGAGAGAGAGAGAGAGAGAGAGAGAGAGAGAGAGAGAGAGAGAGAGAGAGAGAGACAGAGAGAGAGATAATCCAACTTGGGGTAAGCCAGGGGGGGATAAGCCAGCAGGGGGCATTTCCATTTTGGGGTAAGCCAGGTAGGCCAGGGTAATCCGTTTTGGGGCAATCCATTTTGGGGAAAGTCCACAGGGCCACATGTTGGGGGTCATGTGCTTTGGAGCCGAAGTGGCTCTTGGCCAGGGCCCCCTCGGTCCCACCGGTGCCGCCGGTTTCGCGGCGCCCCCCACCCCTTCTCCCTTAAGGTAGGGGGATGTGGCCAACTTGGGTTTTAGCTGCCCACTGTTTGTGAGTAGCTAAGAGGGTACCCTTTTGATTTGTCAGTTCTTTGAACCAAACATGTCCTTTCGGAAAAAATAAGGATGTGCGAGAGGGGAATCAACCATTAGAACTGTTCAATGTTGGTCTTGGTTTGTTTTGTTTTTTTCTCCAGAATGGTCCCGTCCAGTTTTAGTGGGGGCTGCAAAGAGTGACGGCGCTCGAATCGAACGCCAGTCAACGTGTGCGCCAGACGAATTCACCTACGGTTTCGGCTGTGGCTGTGAAGTCATAGGCCCCAAGGGTGATGCAACCACTCCCTCGTCGCCATTTTGTTTTTGGGGGGGGGGGGGTGAGCTGGTCCTCGAATTGCATGGCATTCCTCCCTGGGACTGGATAATTACATGGTCTGGCAGAATGCAAACGAACCAAGAAACTGCCAGTTTTGAGGCTTTCTATGGTCAAGGCATTAAACATGGCCGTTGGCCTAGGGCTTCCTTCCGGTGATTAACATGTTCAGCCTAGGGTGGCACCAAGGTCGCGTTGTTCCAAGTCTGGAGACAAGCTCGAATTATGAACTCACCGAGTGAAACAAGCTCAGCCGTTGCTTCGGGGATTCCCTTCAGGTTCGACAATTTATTCAAACCCCCCGTTGAATTTGCAACCAAACCCTTTCATTTCACTGACTCAGGAGGAGGTTGTTGCTGCGGCCATGCGCACCGTGAGATCTGACACTTTGGCTGCAGGTGCGGAGGTTCTCCGTGAGGGAAGGGAGACTCACCTATGGGCGCATGGCTCATGTACAAAAAGCGAATTTTTAACAGATGGGATGTCCGTGTTCGATCCTCACTCCCCCGATTTCAAGAAAGTCCAAATTGGTTTGCTGCTGAAATTGTCCAACCCCAAAAGGTAGACCAATCAGTAACTCAGGAAGCATCAAAAGGCCTTCAAACTGGCATCGGCAATTGTGAACTTGCTCGAGGCCTTCCATTTGGCACTGTATGGAAAATTGGGACGCACCCCAAATGACAGACCCTTTCCCTATGCGGTTTCCGTTGGGTACGGGTTTCATCTAAAGGCGGTCCATGTGTTGTCCAGTTGAGGATGGGATTATCAAGCCTTGGCGGCGCATTTAATGTCCGCATTGGTCCCAGAGTTTTCGTCTAGTTTGGGGATTGATGCGTGCTGTGAACACGCATGAGCCTCAGACTGTTTTGTGGCCGACCCACTCATGTCAGTTGCCCTTTAAAGTGACACGCTTGTCATACGGAGAGAAATCATGTTAGCTGATTTTGGTCAGAGGGAGCATGTCTTAGATGCTCCTGGCCACTGGGCAACCAGGAATCATTCAAACAAATCCAGGAAGTTCTACCGGAAGTTGGTCAGATGCGTTCCAAAACAAGGATATTTTGGCTGACGTGCCTGGAGAGCGTTTCTTACAAGCAAGCTGCCTGCTCCAGGACCATATGATTGACTGATGTTCGTGTCTGTCAGGATGTGTCCTGGACTTTGCAGAGCATGGCAATATGACCCCCAACCCTGAAACGCCCAATTTGGGGTTGGCCCTAGAATTGCATGTGCACTTGTCCAAAGTCGGGATTCTATCTCCTCAGGGTAGATCGCGGAGAGCCCATTGCTGGGATTGCCTTCAGCACACCAAAGAGGCACGCATAAAAAGTGGTTTCTTTTCGGCTCCTTTGGTTCTGTTTGGGGGGTGCGCCATGTTTTCAACCCAGTTTGTCGAGCTCAATTTAGCCAACCTGATCTATCTCTTTCTAGATTTGCCTTGGCTTGTCAGGGCCTTTAGACTTCAGTTGTTCGGGAATTATGTTCCACATGCCCAACATAAGGAAAAGTATTCATGACCCATCACCGGTACGGTTACGGACTATGCGGGAGCCAAGAGCTAACTTCTATTTTCTCAATACCATGTTGGCTTGAAAGAGTATCTATCACCACTGGAAGTATGTTTTCTACGTCCAGGAGGCGCATTGGCAAATCCCTGGGGTTCAAACCACCACCAAAACCCAATGTGAGTTCAGGTCCTCACCGTTCCTTGGGGACAAGGAAGCTCCATGCAAATGGAGAGCCACACAGTCACATCTTGGCACGCCTGGGTTCGCCAGGCTTTCGGCACAGCTGCGTGGTGGCGGAAGATGGCAGTGCCTTGGGTCACTAAAAAACCGAAGTTTGGGCGTGTCTCTTGCGGGTACCCCCTTTTTGGGAGGTTTTCACACCAAAAGCAAAACCACAATTTGGGGGGGAGCCTTATCAAAAAGTGTCTTGGGTCACTGAAGGGCCGGAGTTTCATGATACTGTGGATGGACGAAGTCCATTTCGCTCCACTGTCAAACCATGGTTGAAACCATCGTTGGTTGGTTTTTACAGGGGAATCATCCGAAACCAGGGTTTCTTAGGTGGTGCAGGATCTCGTCCATCCACAGTATGGGTGTGTCCCTGTTTGGGGGTACCCCCTTTTTGGGAGGTTTTGAAACCAAAAGCAAAACACACAATTTTGGGGGGAGCCTTAAACAAACAAAAAACATAACCCGACGTCTCCCGCTATTTCCACAGAGTTTAAACAATTGAACGTGTGTTTCTTGGTTCATGTTTTGAAGGGGAATGTAGGGAGCCCCGCTGGCCGCAATGGGGATCGCGCTGGAACATGGTTGACATGGAACGTTTTCAGGGCTGCACAGGCATGGTCGTTTGCCAGATGTGGCGACCGCTTCCTGGTATGTTGTTTCACGAAATATGGATCCAGTTTGGAGCCTTGGGGGCTGTGGTAGTGCACTTTTTGTTTGTTGATTTTAAGGTTTGATGTCTTAAGGAAGTTGCACGCACGCATTGCTGATGAGTGTTCGCATCTGAAGGTTTGAGGGCGTTACCACCAAAAGACGACCGCCAGCATGTTGTAAAACTCGATATCTTCACTCCATTGGGCACCCCATAGGTATCCATAGGCTTGCTGGTGGTCGCCCCATAGAGTTTTTATGGGAACCATGAACAGGGGTCCCACTGGCTATGCCGGAGGTCCCAAGTGCGAGCCCGGATCCGAACTCGAAATTGTTCCCCCGATCAAGACCAACCAGGGTTTGAGTGATCGACTGGGTTCCGCGTTGCAGGTTAGATCAACCTGGATCTCAAAGATGCGGTTCCCCTCTCAACCTGAAAAGGGCACCAAGGCAAAACAAACACGTGCACACAAATAAGCGCACTGACATTTGTTGGACAACCAACAAAGATAGAAGGTACCAACGAGTTCAAACCACACAAGCAAAACACACCAATAAGCGCATTGAACATTATGCAGGGCTCCTTAAAAGATACATTTTGAAACATGGCTTTTGCCACCAAAATAAAGTTGGACACCACCATTTCCAAGTTGCAATCTTCGATCGGTGTTTTTTTCATGCATCCGGATTTGTGTGGACCAACAAAAAGGACAGGAGCAGGTTTTGTTTTTCCCCTGCCTACCTACCTACCCCCTTCGGCACGTCAGGCCTGGTGTGCTTTGGCACCTCCGGGCGCGGCCAGTGCGACCTGCCGATCGGCGGCGATGGTCGCGTGACCTCCGTGGCAGCGGGTGCCTCACGCGCGGTTGAGCGCGGTTGACCGGGGACTCCCTTGCAGCTTTGCTTGCTGTTGAACAGGCTGCTAAGTAAATACATACTAATATATATATGTATCTTTATTTATTTGTTTTACTTATTTGTTTATTTGTACATACATAGCTTTCACTGGGTTTGTCTCAATCTTAGTGCGAAATCGGTAGGGAATGAGAGATGGAATGAACCGGAACGGGGTCCCCTTAAAAGGAAATCACCAGTTGGATGGTTTATTTGGGGTCATTCCATTTCTTGTTCCCAGCTTATCGCAGCAAGCAAAATAGGGGGACCCCCAATGGTGGTGGTTGTCTCTTTGGTTTCCTATCAAGCCACGCCAAAAAGGGTTCCGTTTTCTCTTTTTTTTAAGCGCCGTTGAAGGCAGGAGACCCTGCTGGAGGTCTGGCTGTGCTTTCCCACTCCCCGAGTTCCTCTAATTTGTCTTGCTGGTGCTCAGTAGGGAATGACCCCCTATGTGTTTTTCTGTATTTCCCTTGGTGGTTGAAAATACTGGCTGTTTCTCAGGGATGAGATATTCACTGACCCCTTCTCAACCATTTCTTGTGGTTTTCTCTGAGGGAATCCCTATAGGTTCATTCCCTCGTTCCGTGCCTATCGCACCAGCACGTAACGGGACTAGTTTAGTAAATAGACAGGTTGGACTGTTTTTGGGCCAATCCACGGAGTGAGGTTCTGGGGTATCCAAAATCAGACATGCCAAAAAGAAGGGTAGGCAACATAAATCGAACGGAGTCTCCACAGAAACAGGCCAAGTTTTCCCAAGTGAACTAACATGGGAAGATGTTCGACTGGGTTCCTTTGTTTCAGCCACTCAGTTTGACCCAAATGGACAACGTAAGATCTTCCACCCGACTTTTTGGGGGGGCCATGTTCAGGTCCGGTTGGAAATACATGACCGCCTGAGACTATGTTGCACCCACATTCGTTGATTGAGGTCTGTTTTTAATGGTTTGAGTGTGCGTGGCACGTGTATGTTTGGTGGTGGGGGCGGGGAGGGGGGGGCACTTGCAATTCCCTTCAAAGCCGATGCGTGGTGTAGTTTTACTCTTGGGTTTTCCATGTTTGGCCTATGCTTGGGGGTCCAGGTTCATCTTGCCGGATATCTTCTGGCGACGAAAGTCGTTGCCCAGTCCATTTTCAGTCTAGGATTGTCTCTCCTTGTGGTCTTAAAACTTTTAAGTGGTAGAAAAGAAGTGTTGATGTCCATCATCCCACCCATTCTTGCGGGATCCAAATATTGTGGTTGGCATGCACGCATACATACATTACGTGTTCATTTCATGTCATTTCATTTCATCAGCATGCCATGCGTGACATGGCGTGACGTGACGACGTGACGTGACATGTGTTGCATGCATACTTACAGACATTTACATGTATAATATATATACACACATGTACTCTCACATCATTTTAGTTGTTGCCGTTTTGCAGCTGATCTGTATCATTCTCCCAACCTTGCCGTTGCATGGTCCGAATTTAATCTTGAGCGACCCAGCTGAGGCAATTTGCACACCGTGGCAGTGCGCGAAGACGGGGGCCTGTGCTGCTTTGGGGAGACCAGTGCCTCGGACAGGCAAAACAAAGCGCGGAAAGCGACTCCACCGAATCCAACCTTAGTAATTTAGTAGAGCTTTTTGCAGGTATCGGGAAGACTCCCTCAATGTGAGGCGGGGATGAACAAGCAGTGCATTTTGCATTTTCCGATAGCGTACCCACATTACCGTCCAAGGCCTTTCGGTTCTGCTGTGTCTTTTTCTGAGGATGCCCTTTTTGCATGATTTTACAGGGTAACCAAACGGACACCACTGTTTTTTTTTTGGGGGGTCCCTAAAAAAGACACACCCTTTTCAACTTTGCATCCGGATAATGACTCCTCCAATGCACACTACCCGGCGCTCCAATTGACGCCTTCGAACCTTGGCCCCTTAAAAGCTCCGCTCGGCCGAGAATGTCAGCTCTGAGGCACCCGTACCCGTGGTGGAGAGTTAAACGGTGTTTCCTAAGCATAGCAGGAAACCAAGAGGGAACCACGGGTATTGTAAGGAACCCTCAGTTTTGAAGCGCCAATGCCTGTTCTAGTCTTGGCTTTTTAGTTTTGTTTGCTACAATGAATGGCTCCATTCATTTTAGGAGCTGCAACAGAAGTGTCGTGCTGACCTATCATTGTGGGGAGGGTGTGGTTGGAAATTCCATCATGTGTCAAACCTGGGGTATTCCTATGATCATGGTTTTCCTGTCTGCCCCAAAAAAGGGCAGTCTCAACAGCACCCGGCCACCTGGGACTGGGACCGGTGGCCCAAAACATCCGCCGAGGTTTTGGGCAATGCACGGTGCCGGAGAATCTCGTCGCTCCCATCACCGCGGTGAGTGCTGGCTTTTGCCACACCTGCGCTCTCGACGCGGAAGGTGCGGTAGTCAGGTCACCCTAAGGTTTGGATTTGGTTTGGAACCCCTTTGTGTTGGTGGTTTATGCTCTTCTGTTGGTGTTAAAGAGAAACACATTTACTATTGGAAATAATTCATCATTTTTTCCAGGGCTCAAGCAAGTGGAAGTTGGGGTATTTGGACTAAAACTGCCTTCACGGTTGGCAAGATGGACGACCCCGAAAGGAAACAACGAATGGCTGCGGTTCCTTTGCCATGTTCAAGGAAGGGGCTTAGCTTCTTGCTCTTGGCTTTTCGCTTCGAGAGGTGCTCAACGTGACAGGGATTTCAGGCGAAAACGGGACCCAGGCTGCAGGGTCGGGCCACCCAAGAAATGTCCGTGGCCAGGCTTGGGGCAGGGTCGGCCCCCGAAGAAATTTGTCCGTAGGCCGCGTCTTCTGCTTCGGGGACGACACCTACGGCCAGTGCTCTGTGCCGCCGCTGCAGGGCAAAGCCGTGGCCGTCAGCGCCGGTTTTCGCCGCTCGGACATGATCCGTGGTCTTGCTGACTGGCACGCTACGGGGACCTTTCCATTGGTGCATGTTGCTTGGATGTTAGGGCTTTAACTTTTTGCCAACTACGGGTGTTTCATTATATAAGCCACCGAGTTTTGGAAGCAAATGCAAACACTCGGTGGCCCAAACCGCAATCACCTTTTGACCTTTTAGCTTCCTCATGTTGGTCCACTACTTGGATGTTCAATTCGCCAAGTTGGTAAGTGGTCAGCCTGGGGTATAACCTACTTGTGAGTGTTTGTTGGGCCGATTGTAAGTAGGTTAAAGCCATGGTTGCTAACCACGTCGTAACTTGGCCGAGCACCGAAGGAGTAGAGGCGCCAAGGCCTCCAGCTTTTATTTCTGGGTCCTTTCCTTCTTGGCGACCGCCTATCGACTCCCGGGAATCCGAGCCCGATGTTTTTTGTTTTGTTTAAACATGTTTAGCCCAGTAGGGTTCAATGGATGTCCACAGGCAAAGACTTGCGAGGTAAAACGAGCTCAATGAGAAGGTTCCTTCGGGATTCCCTTGCTCCAGGAGTTCGAAGTATACAATTTGCAGCAGAAGGAGTCGTAAGGACAGGGTTTTACACAGGTGATTCATCTAGCATGATGCCAGTCACTAGCAGAGCTGTGATTCAGGAAAACTGAAATCAGTCCACAAGCAGTGGGGTTTCTGTGAAGGAAGGCATGGCAATGGGCGCAAATGAAGCCGAGGAAGTTGAGCAAAAAGGCCTCGGCAAGGTCTTTATATAGTCTCAATTTGCCTTGTTCCCTCCAGTAGACTTGATTTGTATGCTGCATGCTTAATCTGTCAGGTATCCTGCAGAGAAAGTGGGACCCGTTCGTAAGATTCTCATGTCAGAGCCTATTCACCCTTCAGGATTTTGGCGAGGGCGAGGGCCATGTAAGAGGCTCGTAGGCAGGGCATACCTACCCCGTCTTCTCTAGCAAAATCCCACTGACCGAAGTAGGCTTTAGACTTTTTATTGGTAGTTTTTGCTTTGGATTGCCCTGAATAGCGTTGTTTGCGCGCTTTGGCCACACGTACCTTGAACGGGCTGTTGGAACCTCCAGCTTGATGTAACACGCTTGCCAAAAAAAGCCATGATATGCATATGGAATACGTGTTTCCAACTGCTCAGTTGGCTAGGTGGCTAGTCTTTTGACGTTTTAGTGTTCCTCGCGCATGCACCTGGAGACAAAACACAGGCAAAATGCATTTGAAGGCCCTCGACAATATCTTGAGCTCCCTTGCTTCAGCTTTTGCAGTTTGGGTGCGTCTTTTTTCGGGGGACCCCGTTAAAATGGTGGTTCTCCTTTTAGTTTCCCCTTAAACCCCAGCAAAACGGGCATACCCTCAACAAATGACAGTCCGTTTGTCTTTGCTTATAAGTGACGGTTCCCCTTGAGCAAGAGAGACTCACATGCGAAAACCGGTCTCCGCTAGCGGACTGAGGCCACACCTGTGTGCTTACAGAGGGCGGCTCGCTGGTTTGCTTTGGCGACAACAGCGCCTTCGCTTGATGAATGCTTGGCATGTGTTCTCTGTTTGTTGGTTATGCTTAATCTTAGTGGCTGCAAAGGTGCTTCACCATTGGCGTGTTTTCTCAGATCTTTCTTGGATATGTTTAATCTTAGTGGCTGCAAAGGCCAAAGTAGTCATATATGATCTTATATACCAGGCATTGTCGAAAATCATGCCTTGAGTTATCGCAGCTATATCGCAGCTTTGGTACCAAAGCTGCTTTGCTTACTTGTTACGGCATGTTGCTTCGCCGATGCAGGGCGCTTGACTGGAGGATTCCCAGTTCGGCTCTTTGGGTTTGCTCAGATCCCATGTTTCAAGACTTTGGAAGCCTGGATTTGGTGATGACTAGCATGTCAAGTCGACAAAGGTTCAACCGGTAGATGTCTTCTTTCAATTTTGAAAAGGGCCCACAAACAGAACCTGTCCACATCACGGAAGTGGACAGTAATGGTTTGGGAAGACTATAACTGCCTTGAAAGGGCTCCTTCTGCACTGCAATAATTTGAAAATGGTAAGAGCTTCCGGGAAAGCTCAGCTGCACATGTTTGTTTGCTATTTTTTGAGGGGTTTGGATGCTTTTGTGCAATACAACTCTAGCAGAAGACCAAACAACGACCAGGCAGAGGAGTTCATGAATGCCACAGTCGCGCATGGAATCCGAATCCGTTCGACTCGCGGTGAAGTCGCCGACTCAAATTGGATCCCCCGCTTCGCTCGCTTGAGGCTACGGGCAGTGTGAAGTGCCGAACTTGGAGCACGTGAGGCCGGGATGCGGCCACACCGAAGCCATTTTGGGGAGTCCCAGGAAAAACACCAATATGGGCCATGGGTCATAACCTATGGCTCCATTTTGGGGCGGATGAACATCCATTTGCCACCTATTTTGATGTTCACCAAGGGTACAGGGTTTTGACCCACAGCCATATGGGAGTACCTGCTTGCGCTGATACAAGCGGAATAGAAGGCGGAATCATTGCAAGACTTGACGATTTGAAATACACTGGTTGGAACGAGTCTGCAGCAGGTCAGTATTGCAAGGATGGTGCTTGCCCGTGGAAAGCTACCTAAGAATCTGGAATCTGAGACCACATTAATAGCAAAGCCACATTAGCAAAAGATACGAGAGGGAAATCATCAGGTCCGACAAGAAGTACAAGCTTTGATAATCGCGCTTCAGTCAAGCCCACCCCCCTGCAAATGGAACTTGTGGAGCAATTGGCGTTTGATCGGTGTGCCTTTCGTGTTTCCCTTCGTTCTTTCAACCAGCAAGCAGTTTTGACGTGTCCGCAGGGACCAGGTCTTTCCCAGAGACGAAGTTCGCCGACAACACACCCCAGTCACATACCCCCTCTTTCCGAATGCAAAGGGGCTATGACCCTGGACATTTCCCCCAACAAGCCCAACGGAAAACGGTTCTGGTTTTCACAAAAAAAACAAAAACCGGAGCCCTGAGGTTGGTGGCCTGCGGGGATTTCCACACCTGCGCCGTGACGCGACACGGGCAGCTCCATTGCTTCGGCCGCAAGGACTCGGGGCAATGCGACGTGCCCAGCTCCATGGGCCCCGTCATCGCGCCTCGATCAAAAGCGCCCCCTCGGTGTGGACATGAGAGGCCGCGAGCCGAAGTTTTTAGCTCATATAGGTGCGTGTGTGCGTGCGTGCGGGGGCGTGCGGGGGCGTGCGGGGGCGTGCGGGGGCGTGCGGGCGGGCGGGCGCGTGCGCGTGCGCGTGCGCGTGCGTGTGCGCGTGCGCGTGCGCGTGCGCGTGCGCGTGCGCGTGCGCGTGCGCGTGCGCGTTGCGCGTGCGCGTGCGCGTGCGCGTGGCGCGTGCGCGTGCGCGTGCGCGTGCGCGTCGTGCGCGTGCGCGTGCGCGTGCGCGTACGCGCGCGCGCGTGCGCGTGCGCGTGCGCGCGCGTGTGTGTGTGTGTGTGTGTGTGTGTGTGTGTGTGTGTGTGTGTGTGTGTGTGTGTGTGTGTGTGTGTGTGTGTGCGTGTGTGTGTGTGTGTGTGTGTGTGTGTGCGTGTGTGTGTGTGTGTGCGTGTGTGATTGTGCGTGCGTGGGTGTGTGCGTGTCTGTGTGTGTGTGTGTGGTGTGTGTGTGTGGTGTGTGTGTGTGTGTGTGATTGTGCGTGGGTGTGTGTGTGTGTGTGCGTGTGTGATTGTGCGTACGTGGGTGCGTGTGTGTGTGTGTGTGTGTGGTGTGTGTGTGTGGTGTGTGTGTGTGTGTGTGCGCGTGTGTGTGTGTGCGCGCGCGTGTGTGTGTGTGTGTGTGGGTGAGTGTGTGATTGTGTGATTGTGTGATTGTGTGATTGTGTGATTGTGTGATTGTGTGATTGTGTGATTGTGTGATTGTGTGATTGTGTGTGTGTGTGTGATTGTGTGTGTGTGTGATTGTGCGTGTGCGTGTGCGTGTGTGTGTGTGTGTGTGGGTGTGTGTGTGTGGGGGTGGGTGTGTGTGTGGGTGCGGGTGTGTGGGTGTGTGTGTGTGTCTCTGTGTGTTTGTGCGTGCGCCTGTTTGTGTCTGTTTGTGTGTGTACTGTGTGTCTGTGTTTGTGTTTGTTTGTGTTTGTTTGTGTTTGTCGGGCGCGGGTGCGCGTGCGCGTGTGCGTGTGCGTGTGCGCGGGTGCGGGTGCGTGCGGGTGCTTGTGCGTGTGTGTGTGTGTGTGTGTGTGTGGGTGGGTGCGTGCGTGCGTGCGTGCGTGCGTGCGTGCGTGGTGTGTGTGGGTGCGGGTGTGGGTGTGGGTGTGGGTGTGGGTGTGGGTGTGGGTGTGGGTGTGGGTGTGTGTGTGTGTGTGTGTGTGTGTGTGTGTGTGTGTGTGTGTGTGTGTGTGTGTGTGTGTGTGTGGGGGTGTGCGTGTGGGTGGGTGTTTGGTTGTGTTTCTTGTGTTGGTGGTGTTGGTGGTGTTGATTTTGTTGGTTGTATTGGTGTGTTTGCGTGTTTGTGTGTTTGTGCGTTTGTGTGTTGTGTTGTGTTGCCTTGTGCTGTGGGGTGGGGTGGGGTGGGGTAGGGTGGGGTGGGGGCATGTGCGCCGTACGTGTGCGTGTGCGTGTCGGTGTGTCGGTGTGGGGATGGTGGGGTGGCAGTGGGGTCGGGTGGTATAGGGGTGGTAGGGGCGGCAGTGGGTGTGTGGGTGGGTGCGGGTTAGTGTTGGTGTGTGTGTGTGTGTGGAAAGACTTGCTTAGGGTGAGGGAGGGTGGGGGTGCCAGGTTTCTTGACCCAACAGGAGTTTTCCAACAAAAGCTCTCGAGGAAAGAGCGCGCCTGCTTCGGGCCGCGGCACTTCCAACCCTCAGTCTAAGTATGTGCGTCTGCTTTGTGGTTGAGTATTTTCGCCGTTGAAAGGCGAACCAAAGAGGAACATCGACATTTCTGGGAGGCCCCCTCTTCTTGGCACACACACACGCAGAAAAAAAGAAGAAAAAATACGCAAAACAATCAACCCACACACACAAGCAAACGAACAAACAAGCAAGCAAGCAAGCAAAGAAACAAGGCCGCGGGGGGGAGGGGAAGGGAAGGATCTTAGGTCTTAGGCAATTCTCCCAGGGAAAGCCTAAGCAACCATCTTTGGGGGGGGAGTGACTCAAAATCGCACCTGCAATGTTCCTCCCCCCCGGATCCTCTTGCCGCCGCCTCCCCGCCTCCCCGCGCGCGACCGGTTCGCGCAATCGGTTCGCGAGGCCGTGGCGGCGGGGTCCAACTTCACGGTGGCGGTGCTGCTGGACGGCCGCGTCTGGTGCCAGGGCTCCCACGGCCACGGCCAGACGGAGCTGCCCATGGGCCTGGAGCTCGCAGAGGTTCCCAAGAAAGGGCCAAAACAGGTGGTCTATTTCAGGGCCCTAAAAACCGCGTCTTTTTTTGGGGGAGGGTTCCCCTACTAAAATAGACCATGGTCGAAAAAAAATAAACCGGGTACCCTGATTCTAGAAGACATGGCTAAACAGCTTGGATTTGCAAGAAGCTGGAGCCCAAGAGCCCAAGAGCCACGCGATTTGTTGTGTTCAGAGATCACTCCCCAGAGACGAGTCCGAGCCTCCCCCCAAAAAAGTTTTGACACCATTTGTGAAGGCTCTCCCATGGCCACAAAAGGCTAAACGGCTGGACCTCGACGGGGTCCAATAGCGCATACTCTAAACCAAGGCCGAATGGAAGGGGATTCCGCACAAAAGCAGTTTTGGAAGTGGAGTGAATGCAGCTATGGGACCCTTCGCTGGAAAGCCCTCGTTGCAAACGAATTGAAATGGCTGCCTCGAGGTGAATCTTGTTGGCCATTCCATCCCCACCTCACTGAATGTCCAGTTAGGTCCAATCTTCTGTCCATTTTGACACTTGAACCATCTTCAACCGTGTCCCAGGTAGGCTTCTTTTTTCTCTTATTTTTTGTTTGGGGGGGGGTTCCTTGTTCCTTGCTGAAAGCCACAATTTCGAAGGGGCCCCCTAAAAAACGCGGGAGACCCATGCCCCATCTACCACAGATTGGTGAGGCCAGGTGTCCAGTCTGTGGCTGGATGAGAGCGCGGGCCATGCGTCCCAACGTCTTCTTTTTGATGAACAGAGACGTTTTCAGCACCGGAAATGGATGGAGAAGGCCCATGATCCCTATGACCACTAGGATAAACCACCAATCCAACGAATCCAAGTGGTGTCGGCAGTTCTCGGAGCTCGACCCGCCGTACGAAGCCGCTGCATCCATGGAGTTGGAGGAGTCAGGGGAGGTGGAGATCGCGCCTGGGCTTCATGTGCGTTGGGCCCAAGATTGGAGGGAAGCCTTCGCTAGAAATTATGTGTGCTAAGTAATTGCCACATGTGTTTTGGATTTCCCAAGCGCCCTATTATGACACACAGGATTAGCGATTGGGGGGGTCATCTGGGAAGCCTGAATAAGGCTGGCATTCAACTCGTTGCCGAGAAATGTTTGATGTTTTGTCCTGTGTTGCATTCAGATGATGTGTCTGTCTTTTTGTTTGTTCTTTTGTTTTTTTTGTGTATTTTTTGGGGGAAGGGTCTCTTTTGCGAGCCCCTGAACAAAGGTGGAACGTTGATCAGGTCTCCTTTGGTATTTTGTCAGGCAACCTTCCTAGCTGGTGTTTCGCTGGCGGTTCAGGGATTTGATCCCTCCTGGAGATTCATTCTCCATGAATTTCCTGGTAGTTCTCGTCTTCAACTTGCTTTTCCTAAAAACCGTTTTGTTTTTAGTGAAGTCGCCTAAAACTACTAAAACTCCTATATGTGCGTGAGATTGCAGAATTGGTTCTTTGATACGTTTTCCCCGCCCGGAATTACCCGCAAAACGCCCGCAAAAAGCCCGCAAACGCCCGCAAAACCCCGCAAACGCCCGCAAATCAGGAAAAAAACAAAACGTTTTTTGGGTTCAGGGGTCGCCCAACACTCCTAGAAAGCATTTAGAACGTCCAACACACCCAAAACTACCAGGAAACCAAAACGCCTAGGAAAAGGCCGGAGAATGAATCTTCAGGCTTGGTGTTTGTAGAGAGTAAATGGGAAACCGCCCCGAACCACAATCCACCAAACCACCAGCTAGTCGAAAGCTGACTTTGTGCTCGTTTCGGCCAAACTTTTGCACTGACCTTTGCCGTTTCGAATGAACGTGAGAGGCTGTTCCTATTGCCACGGGTTGGTCTCACCATTCGGGCACGTGATTCTCAAACAAAAAGGGGACTGCCCTCATGGTTCAGCTTTCCACTAATTGGTTGTTTGAATTGGTGGTTTTGTGGTTGGGGTAGTTGCCCATTTACTCTCTACAACAAGGGGTTCAAATCCCAAGTCACCAATCCAAACCACCAATTAAGGGTCAAGTGACTGGTTGGTCTTCCCTCTTGGTTTCCCTTTGACACCAACCGGTTCCCAAAGTGAAACTCCCATGATGACGAGTGCACCGCTTGAAAAAGCGGGGCGAAGTTTTTTGAGCGCCTGGCCACAGGTCTCTTCCCGTCTGGCGCTACGTGGGCTGTAATGGCTGTAGCTCAAAGCCAGTGGGATCCCATTTTGGGGCAGGCACCACCCGTTTTAGTCTATTTTAGTGGGGATTGGGATGTTCACTGGGGGCACGGGATTTTCCTTCCGTTTGCGGGATTCAGAAGGTTCAATGCCTTGCAGGAGGGAGGATGGACTACCTCTCTTAGGGAGATTTGTCGTGAAAGACTCGTGTTGAGCTGCAAGCTGTTGCTTCCCTTTCAAAGGACAACCACAGGGTTTGGGGGGTGGTGAGACACTCAGACGGTCGGCTGTTCCAAACACGCCTCGGCGGTAGACGCTGCCCTTCCAAAGGACCCCTTGCCCTGTTGGGGGGTATACTAGCTTACTGACTTGCATCATTTAGGGCTCTCACCGTAGGGATCAACCCTCTTGCCGGTCTTTTCTGTCAGGTGGAGGATGAAGTGCAGCTCGGCAATTGGCTCGAAGGCGTTTAGTGGAACGGCTTGGGCGAACAGGTATTGGTGTTTTGAGTTAACGGTTTGCCTGAAGTGACAACCTGTTAATGTGGCAGTTTGGTTTAGCTTTGAAAAGTTGTTGTTTTAGGTTGGAGGCGATTTAAGGCCTTGCGGCATTTGAACATATTCGAACTCCGTGGCCTTGCGTACTCGTTTGGGGGATGCGTTTGGGCCAGGAGCTTGCTTTTGGGTTTCCTTTCTTCACGAACCAAAAGGAGGTACTCTTATAGATATTGGACACATCCATGTTTGTTGAACAGCCCGTCGGCATTCAGCTTGCTTTTGCGCGCCGAGGATGGGAGCAAAAGGGCGCCTTCAAAGACATTCCCGCGGTTTGATGCCAGGCATCATTTTTGTGGTTTTAACCTGCACTTCTGGAAGAATCCAATTTGAAGTGTGATTTCTTTTGGTGGCGTGATTGCAACCTCCAACCTCTGTTCCTCTGACACAATCTTGTTTTTCCATCAGGGTGGTGTCATTTATATGCCCATTGGAGTTCTGGTGTCGTTTTCTAATTGGGCTGATGTGTCTTGTCTTCAGCTTCCCGCCGATTGGTGGTTTGGAGCCCGGTGGTTTGGTGGTTGAGGAGTGGTGTCCCATTTACCCTCACGTCCCAAAGCCCTTTTTGTTCTTGGCATGGCAAGTTGGGCGCCGAGGCTTGAGGAGGTGTCGCCCACGTCAGACCTTTGGCTGCACTCAGACGACGTCTTCCATTTTCGGACGGGGTGCTGCGAGCCGTCCAAACATGATCAAACACTTGTGTATGAATGAGTTTTCTCTGAAGGTACCATTTTTGGGATGGTTGCAAAAGCAAACCGAAAGGAAATCTACCAGTTTCACACCCATCCATGAGTTCTCAAAATTGCAAATCCACTTTGGGTTGCATTTAACGAAACAAAAGTTTGAATCAAGCCGCAAATGCACCCCTATTCGCGAAAACCACCCATCTATTTCCTCCATTCGGTTCCAGTCCTTTGCCATGTCAACTTACACTCAGGGATTTCTTCTTTGGCGTCGGGGCCGAAAGGCTTCTCTTCTCGTCGGATGGGAGCAACGGGAAAAGAATCCGGGCGGTTTTTTCATGCTTGGCTTTGGGTCCTTTTGGCTCTCAGGGGCACAGGGTTCACACATCTTCGCCGCTTGCCTGTCATATGGCTCTCTCCCCACGGGGCTTGCGGCAGGTGGCTGGAACCCATTGGTCTAGCAATGGGCCCCAGACCTCCGGCTGGGCAGATGGGTGTCCCTTTCAAAGTCAGGGTCTCGTTCCCGGCAAATATGGCGGAGTGGGTTCGCAACCATGGCCTTAGGCGAAGGGAAAGAAGGGACCATGCCCTTGGGGCAGACCAGATGAATGGGCCGTTCTTGGTACTCGTGTTTGATTTGCCGGTTGTTGAGGGGATTTTCATTGTCGGGTGGAAAGAACAGCGGGTGTTCGTTGCTCATTTGCCAAAAGGAAACCGATTAGGCCTGGGCGTGCGCTATCCCGATCCCGGTCGCCCATGGCAAGATAGGTATGATTCATAACGGGTAAGCGTTGTCGGGCGTGGGATTCATCGCTCAATCAACAGAATAATCCCCCCGGCCCCCAGGATTTTCGTTCGAGGCGGAAGAGCCCCACGAACGGCCCCTCAAAACATGAGAAGCCATCCACCTTTTGTGGGGGTGATGTGGGACAACATATTATTTCGGGTGAACAAATCCCTGGAAGGCCCCTCAAAACATGAAGCCATTTGTGGGGGTGATGTGAACTGCGGTTGAGTCAGGCGGACCTGCAGAAGATGATGTCGACGGCTGGGTCCTGGGCCACTGATACCACCTTGACCTCGCTCACCTCCGAGATCCAGGACGATCGTTCGACCGGCCGACGGCTTTTCGCTTTTTCTCGGATCCACTGGTACGAAGCAATTGGGGCCCTTTTACCGTTTCTTTTTCGGGGGAGGGCTCCCCTACCAGAATAGACTACAGGAAAAAGGGTAGCCTTATTCTATCCTCTTTGCTGGAGGACCTAGAAGCCATACTGTAGGGGGAACACTTGGGCGTTCCTTACCAAAAAAGAAGAATGGGTTCTTCTGGGGCTTTCCTTTGACAGGGGGCCCCCAAGAAAGGACACGCACCTTTTTGGCGCCAAGGGGTATTTGCTGCCCGCTGATAGGAATTCCATCCCAAAGATCTGTAGGGGAGTGGGGTCGGTGGTTGCAAGTGATTCAAACGGCCCTGGCTCTGAAGGGATGCCAAAAGAGGCTTCAGGGTTCCCTAAGACTTCCCCATTTAATAACATCACCTTTTGCTTTGCAAAATTGACGTAAGTTTCCTTTCGAGGGGATATGTAATGTCGTAGAAAAACAAAGATGGTTCTCTCCGCGTCGCCCGGGAACGCTAATTTTGCGTGTGTGTGTGTGTGTGTGTGTGTGTGTGTGTGTGTGTGTGTGTGTGTGTGTGTGTGTGTGTGTGTGTGTGTGTGTGTGTGTGTGTGTGTGTTTTTCAGGGAGAAAACCAGGAACCGAAACTCCGGTGTTCGTCATGGATCTATAGATAGGAGGGGAACAAGCCCCCCCTTTCCCCGATACAAAAGCCAGGCGGTGCCTGGATGGCTCCCGTGACATTTGTAGACTCTGGTTGAGGAATCGGTGTTTTGGGAAAATGGCTCTAGACGTGCGCTGGCGCCTTCAGAGAACCGCTGCAAAACTGCACAACTAAGTCCATCCGTTTACACGTTGACATTGAGCGGCATGCAAAATGCAATCGTGAGTCATGCATGGAAGCATTGAGGTGTTGCATGCTCGACAAGCGGGAGTTTGGACGCACTCTCCGGACACGCGCTGGACGGTTGCGCGCGCGTGGTGCAGAGAAATTGTTTGGTCTACTGGTTGAGCTTGCGAAACCTTGTCGAGAAAAACAAAAAGCAGTTCTGTGTTTTAGCGCGGAGGCCAACCAAGAAACATGAAATCTGACACTCGCTATCAGCGTTCAAATGTTTTCAACCAAACCATTGTTTTTGTTGAACAACCCAATATTTCGATATGTGCCACAATTATTGCTCCCAAACCACCTTTGTTAAACTAACCTGGGCATGCTTGTCTCGATTGTGCGTAGGCTACACTTCTGTGCCTTGTTGAGTTGGTTAAGATTCCTTTTGCACTTGGCGCGTCGCGACAAAGGATGCATGGTACTCCCAAAAACGACCTCATGACATCCCTACAGCGTTGCTGAAACGCAACTGGGGATGTCCCTAGACGTCTCCGAACCCTCCGAACCCATCGGTTGCCGTCGGTGAGGACATACTGGATGCGGACAAGGGCCAGGATGAGCAGACCCGGAAGCGCATCCAGGCGCCAGAGCGCGAACGTGGCTGGTAGGTTCAAATGTTCCGCCGCTGACTTCCAAGGTGAATCGATCGTTTGACCTTTTTCCCCCCTTTCGGTCAAGGTTCCAAGAGGTTGACCGACCGTTTCTGGCAATGAAGGCAAATTCTATGGCGATTCCACTGGGGAGCGATTTCTCCAAGGGGTCTCAGGGATCAAGCAAAACCCCTTCCACGCTCCACTAGCCCCCCGAAAAAAAGGCTGGCTGAGCACGTAAAAAGCGGCTTTTTACCCTCCAAAATTTTAGAGTGTTGATGTTTTGTTCGACATTTGAGAAACTGGTGTTTCTCCGGTACCCCTGAATTGGTGGTTTGGATTGGTAGGAATTGAAGCCCTGGGTCTTGTAGAGGATTGATGGGAAACCCCCCAAGCCGCTCAACCACTATCTTCACAGTTTTTGGCAAGTCTCTTTGTTGTTTGTTTGTTTCTTTGTTCTGTTCATCTTTAGCACCTAGCTACACAAAGCACAGTCTTTTGCCATTCCGCGAGTAACGCTTCACTGGCGTGGATCCACACAAGCGATCGCCGGTTCCCTTATTCAAGGACACCAAGGGACGAAGGGATGCAGGGAGCACGCTTCCCGCCGGAGGGGTCATGTTTTGCTCCTGTTTGGTTGGACCCTTGCTGTTTCTCCTGCGAGGTTTTCAAAATGATCAGGGGACCCTAAACAGGGTTTAAACAAGCGGCTTCCAGCTTGCACCAAAGGAGAATCATGTGTGTAGCATCCTGGAGCACATTCACCAATGGGTCACCCAAAATGATGGGGTTTCCTACATGTTCTGCCTTCCTGTCACCAAGGCATACTGTCTTAATTTCCCTCCGATGAACCCATTTTCGACCCCTATATAGGGGTTGGCACTCAAAAACACAACTCCTGCGCTGCGAACATCATCAAGTCAATTTGTTTCGGGCAGGTGGATTGAATCAACCCACAGGTAGGCGGGAGAAGAAAAAAGAACAAAACAACTGGTAAACTGGCACGCGTTGTCTCACAAGGAGCATCAGCCAGGAATGACCTTTCAGCGTCCCCGTGGCCAAGGCGTAACCTTTAATTTCTGGGTGGCAAGTGAGTGGGTGGCATAGGCTTGAAAACGTGGCACAGGCTGGATTTGCACGCAGGATTTGCGCGAGCGGCTGGCGCAAACCTGGGAGGAGGCAGGTCAAAGTCAAAGGATCCGCTGAGGTTCAGGTCAAGGGCCGGAATCAATCTCTGTTGGTTTGGCTTTACACGGAAAACGGTGGACCCCCAAAAGGGGTTTGATTTTTTTCAGGGTCACTGAACAGGATGGCTTTTTATTCTTTGGGGCTAGTGGTTGGGGGGTGGAAACTATCTGAGAAATGGTTCCATTGAACTCGACGGTTGGCCCAGTTGTTCAGTGGCACTTTGGGGACCCACCAGAAATGGTCAACCCCAAAGCCGGTTCCATTATATCCTTGCCGAACGGATACTAGGGTTCTGTCTTAGATGAATTGCTGCTTTCTCTCAGGTGATTGGGTTCAACTCGGGCTGCAAGGTTCTATGATTTTCATCAGAGGCCAACAGACAATCGCCGACATGTTCCTGCGATCTATTGCCGATTTTCTAACTGGGTAGAGTCCTGCAGGGAACTCGTTCTTTCTTTCAGCGATCTCCAAAAGCTCAAGCCTTGTCAAGGGGATGGACCCTGCACGAAGATGTGAGGGGCAGCCAACAAAACAAACTCTTCCGGATGGGTGCAAAAGCAAACCAGCAGAAATCCAACATACGACCAGGCTTCCAGTGAGGAACGAAACTCGCTCGGCCACAGGTGTCCTTTTTGGCTTGCTTTTGGGTAGGCCAAGATGGCACTGGTTACTGGTTTAGACGGGTGTTGCTTCATTTTGTAGGTCCGTCCATTTTACCAAAAGGACGCCTATGCGCTTGACAGGTTGTTTGTTTGGAGATGGATCTTCTAAACCCATTCATCCATTTCTTCTGCGGCATCCAGTTGAATCCCTTTGTGCCTTCCACCGGACGGTTTTGGTGCAAGTGTCAGGAAGCCAACCCCTGCCGCTCTCCCGGCTCCATGGCGGTTCCATGGCGAACACCTCGCGCGATGTCGGCTTTCGGCTCGTGAGGCGTACAGCTTGGCACAGCAGTTCGTGGACAACATCAGGTGACTTGGCGCCATTGGAGTCTTGGACTCGGCGAGGAGTCTAGTGCTTGCACTTCGGAATGCGGTTTGAGGGAAGACAATTGGAGTTAAGCGCTTACCAAGAGATCATGCTGTTGTTTTTTTCGGCGGTTCGACACGGGAAGAGCGATTTGTTGAGCTCTAAGCTTACCGATCAATAGCAAACAGCGTGATCGCATCCGATTGGTGAATGTCTGCAAGTAGTAAATATAGGTACCCCTGATACCCGATACCCTTCGCACACCCACCCTTTAATCACTCATGAACATGTGTAGCGCCCTAAGTTCCATTTGTTAAAGATTCTCGAGGGCGCAGGGGGGCATCCATACAGAGGCCCTTTTCATCAGATTCATGCCCCTTGACCGGAAGGATCATGCCCACCCCAGCGGGGGGTCCACTCCTTTTGGCGTTAAAAAGAACTGGTACTACATAAAGCCACCACATCAATCGGGTCCAAGGTTAGATAAGCCCATGTTCCGTTGAGTAGTGGCTCGGTGTCGCGGAAGCTATTGAGGCTTTGGATCCATTTTTTGTTCGGCATGAGCAACTGGCAGTATCGTTGGTCTACTGTTTGGGAATGACAGGAAGGGGGTTGTGGACAACCCAACAAGAAGCCAGCCGAAGCGAACATACCGCTTGAACACATTCAGACAAATGTTTGCCCAGCCCGTTGGAACCCTCGAAAACAGACGAGATCTCCATTTTACCGTGGAAACGCGGGTCCCCGCGGATCCCCGCCGGCGAGGGGCGTAGCCTGCGGGTCCTTCCATGCGTGCCTTCTGCAGAAGGACGCACAGCTCTTCTTCTTCGGAGCGGCTCGGAGAAAAAAATGCGGGCCCTTGGCTCTTATTTGTAACCCTTTGCCGGTGATGAGTGGAAGGTCCTTGGCTTCTCATTTGGTAACTCTTTGCCGGTGATGAGTTGAAGCGATTCTTGAGCAAACGAAAACCCCTCCCTTTTGCACCTCCAATAAACAAGGGAAGCAACACGTCCTCATTGGAAGCAGGCACCAGGGGCTTTCTTGGAGAACAATTTGCCACAGGTTTCGAACTTGTGTTTGCCTCGGTCTGTAGGGCTCACTTGTCCAAAGCGAATCGACCTTTGCAGCTTTGGGTTTTCCTAGTTTGGTTCCCTTTTCGTCATGGCCTCAAAAGGGTGAATTAGCCCTTGATTTCCGGGTCCTTGGGCAAGCAAGTACCACGTTTGGTCGGGGTTGTAGCTGGTGCGCTTGCAGCACCGTACGCAAATGGCAGAAGCTAATTGGCTGCTCACTGTTCGATCCGACCTTCCTGCAAGCGGAAATTAAACAAACATGAGATGAAACAAAAGAGACACCCAACAAAGAAACAACTGTCATCACTTGTATTTACTGGGTTGTCAGTGCCTACTTTTGGTGACTGTGATCGCTCCGATTTGTTGCTGTTGAACACGCCTGAACTCTGGCCATGTTTTGGGGCATCTCGGTTATGTGGAACCGCATCGACCAAATCTGGACTCGTGCAGTTCGGCCGGGTCGAATCGCGGTTGCCGGTTGCAAGGTGATGTGATCGGGATTCCATCCAAGCCCATGTACTGGCTGGGGTTTCTTTGCCAGGGTTAGACTCGGTTCCCTTCTGAGAAGGGCTGCCCATCACTCTGCCAAAATGGCCTAAGAAGTGGCCAGGCGAGGGCTGTTGAACACCTAGGGTCGCTCCTGTTAAAAGGCCCGCATCAACCAGATGGACAGACACGGTTGCGGCAAACTGGGTTTTGTGGCCAAGGTTTCATGGATCAAGTCTTAAACCGAGGACGACAGTGCGAACCAGTGCCGGGTGCCGGAGACCTTGGTGCCCAAGGCGGCGAAGAAGCTGTTCGCTTCGACATGCGTGATCCCACGTATCTCATCTCCTGAGTTTTTGGGGAAGACTATTGTGGTGGTAAGTAACAAGTTAGGCTGTTTTCTTGGACTTTCGTCATTTTTGGGTGGAAAACCATTTTTGGGTAAACAAAACAAGTTCAGACTGGTTTTTGGCCCATCCCCTCAGGTTGTTGAGCAGCATCCTGCAGGTGCCTTTGGTTTGGCTTTTTGTTGGGTCAACTTGTTGCTGGGATCCTTGTTCCAGGCATTTTCGGGAGCACTTTCCGTCCTGCCATCATCTTCTCTTCAATGTTGGTCGTTTATTCCCCTCGGCTGAAAGCTATACGCTCTGGGGTGGTTTGGAGCAGCTTTCAAGGCTGCTGGAGTTTCGGTTCTAGGGGGTTCGGGACAATCCCAGCCACAAATGGGTGCGGCCTTCTTAATTCTGTACGTCTGTACATGGTTTTTGGTAGACCATTTTAATACCTTTGACCATTTTAATACCTTTGGGTTTCATTATGAATCCCTGGGGTTTCTTTTTTGTCGTGGCAGGATTAATTCTGTACATGGTTTAACCAGACGATTTTAATACCAAGGTTTCATTATGAATCCCTTGAGTTTCTTTTTCTAGGTCCCCCAGTAGTGCCCTTTTACCCTTTCTGTGGGAGGGGTCCCCTACAAAATAGACTACAGAAAAAGGGTACCCTTATTCTAACCTCTCTACTGGAGGACCTAGTTTTTGCTGTGGCCACTTTTCTGTTATGGCAGGATTAATTATGTACATTGTTTTGGGTAGGCCATTTCAATACCAAGATTCATTCTGAATCCCTTGGGTTTCTTCTTTGTGGCAGGAAGGATCCAACTGGCCTCGCAGGTTTTCACAGTGGACCCCGCCCAGCTGCCCTTGGGCATCTTGGCCGACCGCAAGCCCAAGCTCCTGGAATCGGCTCCCGAGCCCGAGCCTAACCCGGACCCGCCGCAGCCGCCCTAGGCATAGGCGCCATCGTTTTGTTTGTTCAAAACGGAGGAGTTCGGATCTGAGAAAAAGTCTTTGGCTCACTTCTTGAGTTCCTGAACACTAGACTTTGTGGGAAGACCATTTTGGTGGTACACAATTTTGCGAACTTTTTCTGGCCGAGCCGGCCAAGCTATATACTCGGGAAGTGAGTTGGGTGTGCCCACTGTTTTTTGGAGGGTAGTACTACCGGAGTACCAAAATGTTGGAGTGGGTTTATAAGGAAGCCAAAAGGAAACCATCCCGAGCTTGAGACATATCGTTATAATGTGAAAGTCGTTTGAATATATTGTCAGGATGAGGCAATGAAAATCGTAGGTGTTTGCGGGCAAAACCTGAGGTGAGCAAAGATGGGGAGGCTTTAGTGGTTCCAACAGGCCAACCCAGTTTTGTTTTTCAGTCGGCCCATTGCATTTAGATTTCACAGGCCCATGTGGTTTGCCCCAAAGTGTCCGTGGGGTTTCTTTGTTTGTTTTGTAGCGGGTCGCAGAGAGTAAGCAAGCAGCCGAGCAGCCCGACGTATATGCAGCGCAGCCTTTTTTGCAAAGGGCACCATGCGATAATTTGTGTGCTCGAATGGTTAGGCCCTAAGCGCTTGCACAAGCCAAAGCGACAGTTCAATCAGAACCCGAAGAGAGTTTCCTAATTCCGACTCCTCCATCAACCAATGTGATGTGCAATCACCTCTCTTGTTGTGAGGGGTTCGGCCGCGAAAGCGGCAAACCCCTCACTGAAGGCACAAGTACCTCGGTAGCCAAAGGCTCCTGTCAGAACAAGGACAGGCCGGCGGTTTGAGTAGACTTGGATGTGAATTGGGCAAGCGACCGCGCCTGTTTGTCGACTCAAGGCATAAAATTCCCATCGACCTTTGACGCTTTTTGTGTCCCTTTTTTAATAAGGTGACCAAGTTGACTCAAATCCCGGCCTCGTCCAAGTGCATGCTCTCTCTTCCCAGACCTTCAGCGGTGCCCAAATGTTGCTTTTCGCCAGCGGACAGTTTTTTTTTAGTTGCAGTTCTTTGCCCAGATAGGCGCCGAGGATATTGTAGGAGCGGCTCCCTTCTAGGGATCCGGAAGGGTTTTGGGGGGTTGCGATTGGGGATATCATCGGGCGACAATTCTCATGGCTGGTCTCTTTGAACGAATAGTCCCGTTGACCTTTTTGGATTAAAAAAAAAAAAACTCATGACCTACTCGTTGCCCCCCCAAAAAAAGCTTTTGACCTTTTGGTTTCCCTTTGGTTTCCATCAAACCGGTGGTTTCTCTCTCGGTGCAGCTTTCATTTTTCTGGGCCTGGGCCTTGCCTCCAGAGTGTGTCGAGCTTCCAAGCCCGGGGCTCGGAGATGAAAACCGCGGCCGCAGGTTGGAATTTCACGGTGGTTGGGAAACCGTTTTCCCCATTCTGGCGCAAAACCGTGGGGGAAGTTCATGGTCCGTTGTTGTTGGCGGGATTTGCCTTTTCCCAATTTTTTTGTTTGGGAAGCATGTTTCCCAATTCTTTGCGCATTTTGTGATTTAGAAATTTAGTGGTTGAAACCCAAATCCACTTCACTGCTAAAGTTCGAGAATGTTTGCTCCCCTTCCAACGTCAACCAAGAGAAAACCATGGGGAATCCACTGGTGGATGTGGAGGGAAGGGCTTCCGCTACAAGGGGTTTCCCTCTATGAGCTTATCGCCGCCTGGAGATCTGGCCTGAAAGTCAGGCTTTGCGAATGCAAGGCCTGTCTGCCAATTCGGACTGCCCTTGTGTGGGTGTAAAATCTAAGTTAGGAAATCACTTTCTCTGAGACAACCAAAATCAATACAAGAACAAGACACGGGCTGTTTGTTTTGCAGAGCCAGAGCTTCAATCGTGAAGGTTGCTGCAAGGGCAGGTGTCGGAGTTCGTTGCATGGCACGAAGTTCCGGTACAAAAGCTGCGTTTGGCAAGCCTTGCTGGAGATCTTGTTGGGATCTGAGCCCCACCACCAGTACGCCACCGTAGCCCTGTTCCCCAAAAGGAAGACTCGGGTTACTCTCCCTTCTGGCGAATACCGCGGATCAACCGTTGTTCGGACCCCCAAATGGACGTTTCCTAGTCCCAGTTGCCCAGTCGTGCCCATTTTTCCTTTTTTTCGGGGAAGGGTTCCTCTTTAACGTCAACCAACCACAAAAGGATGCCCTTTCTTCCCATGGCCACTGGGCATTTGTGTGGTCATATGATCATGGCAACCTTTACTTTGTTTGTCCCCGCCCAAAACATAGAACCTTCTAGTCACATTCAGGCAAGGTTGTGATTTGGACGTGAAACGGGCAAAAGCCATGATGCGGGATGTCCGCAGTTTTGAACCAATTCCAATATTTTGGTAGGAAGAGGCTGCATCATTGGTGCAACTACTGTCGTTACCGCTGTTTGGGTCAGAAACTATTCCACTTCAGCCCTAATGAAGCTTTAGAAGCACCTTCCTTTTTTCCGGCAGAAAAAAGCAACAAAAAACAGCACCTCCTCAGTCCAATCTCGCCCCGGACGCTCTCGAGTTCGCGTTTTTCAGGCGGCGATCTCGGCCGCGTTTCCTCGGGGCCGGGGCTGGGAGCCTCAAGGGCCCCCTTCGAAGGCGAGACCTTTGGCGGGTTTGATGAATCGGCGCATCGGATCGCATCGAAGGCTGCTTCATGGTGGTTGTTGGGATTTACAATTTTCCATTATTTTTGCCCATTGTGGTTTAGTGGTTGAAATCCCCACTTGGCGGCTGAAATTTAATTTGTTGCTCCCTTTTCAACGTCAACCAAGGCTTGAATACATTTGAGCATACGTCCATGTATACGCAAGGTTTGGCACTACGGGCGGCGAATATCAAGGATACTATTCGGCTGCATGTACAGGGCCACTGACCAAAGAGGTTGGAGGGTAGAACCACCTAAAATATCCACCAATGAGTCCGCAACTACCCGTTGCATCCACGGCTTCAAGTATTTAGCCTTTGAAATCCGTGTTTCACTGCTTATTGGTTCCCTCCGCACGCTCTGCAACATACTTTTGAGATCAAGAAGCCAACAGAAAACCTGCAAGGCGGGCACTTCTGACAGAAGTGAAATGCAACCCCTGTCAGGCGTGCCGAAGTTGGCAGATTTTGGGAGATGCCATCGGAAAAGCCAAGTGCCATTCATACATGCCATTTGTTCTTTCTTGTTTTGTTCTCGGGGTTGTTCTTTGTGGCGGATGGTGCGCATTTGTTGAAAGTTTGGGCGGGCGAGGGCTTAAAGTTCTGTGCAAAAGTTGTGAAGACAGGCTCAACTCGGGATGCAACAAACAGCCCCCTTTAATGTGGAGTACATGGTTGGGGCACCTTACGAATTGAAGCTTGTTTTTTTTGTGCGTCCACTTTTGAACGGATGTGTATCAGGAGCCCCTGCGATTTGAAACCCCGCCTGCGATTTGAGACCCCACAGTTGCGACAACAGATTAGAACACTTGGGGCCCCAGACGAGGCAATGCTTCGTGGCCCGAACCATTGCCCGTTTGTGGAAGAGGTGACTGAATTACCAGATGCCAAGCCTCACTCCCCGAGTTGGACTTCGATTCTCGGGAAGACCATGCTAGTGGCAAATAATTTCGTTCAGACTTTGGGGCCAATCCACTCGCAAGTTTGATGTGTTCCTCCGTGACACGTCGCTAGGTCGGCGCCGCTGTAGCATGGCTTGATGGCGTGCCAGCTGACAAGCGTGGCAAAAGTGGCTAAGCGCCCGCTTGCTCCGAGCAACCAAAAAGGAATCTGTTGCAATAGCACCTTGTTTTCCTGTTTTTGCGTGGGTTCTCACTAAAAATGGGCTCGACCCTCAAAACATCTTCTTTTTGTTCCACCATGGTTCGTAAGCAATTGGGAGAAGCATGATGATTCCTCCAAGTAATTGTGAACCCACGGGGCACATGACAATCCTTCGTCGTGGGCTAACATGCCAAGCGTCAGGAACCCGCACTCTTTAGGCTTCGGTGATCTGTGCCAAACTAAGCCCGAGAACCTTTTTGCGGCGTAGTCATGGCACTTTATCATGGTTTTTGTTGGGAAACATCTTACATGTTTGCTCATTGTGGTTTCGTGGTTGAAATCCAACCACTTAACTGCTAAAATTTATTTGTTTTGCCCCCCTTGCAACGTCAACCAAACTTTGTGGGTACCCTGAAAATACCCATGGCTCATGCAGGCGTTCTAGTGAATCTCGACATGTCTAGCTTGAGATGGATGAAATGAACTGCGCAAGAGGGCATGAAGACATACTGTGGATGGTTGCGAAATCCATTTCGCACCACCTGAGAAACCCTGGTTTCTGTTGATTCCCCTGTAAATACCAAGCATTAATGTTTGAACCATGGTTTCCAAGTGGTGCCTAAGCGGATTTCGCAACCATCCACAGTACCGTCGAACTTTGAAAAGTGACAGTTTAATGGAAACTACAAGCACGTTGCAACTTTTGAAGGGGAAATCCAGTGGCCCCTGTTAAATTGGGCCGGTGCAGTTTCCGCCGAGATCGTGGTTTTCATGAGTGTCCGCTTTTCGGCAGATTCGCCGAAAACCTTTGGGTGCATTCCTTTCCGCTTGCACGGTTTGCCCAGATGGGCGGATGGGGGGGAACCTCGAGTTTTTTGTGAATAACTTAAAGCCAACCTAAAGGCGGCACCTTAAAACAAAACAACACACATGCGGCATGCGTTTGTCCAACAGAGGCATGTCAATGTCCCACCACATTTCGCAATTTTGGGGGTTTTGCCTGGCGAGTTGCCTTTGAAAACTGATCAACACCCACGCCAAAAGCAGTGCAGATGATGGAACACCTCCGCTTGACGTGTCGGCTAGGAGCATTCCGCGCAGCTGGAGAAGCTCGCGCTGGCGGAATCGGAGAGTGCGGGCCGTAGGGATTCGGAAGCCTGCGGCCGTCTTAAGCGGAGGAAAGATTGGCTCCCATCAAGGGGAGCTCACCTTGCAAGTCAAGAAGATGATCGATTACCCTCCGTCCCCCAAAAAAAGGCTTCCCTCCCCAAACAATTCTCCCAAGTTGACCATGAATG